TTTTGGATATTGAAAGACTTACAAAATTCAGCTGATTTAAAACTGATTAAAATGACTCAGCAGACCTTCTTTTATGAATCAATATATTTTTTGTTTGTTTGGTTAACTGTATCCGTAGAAATCTGGCTATCGTGTTTTTATTTTTATTTTATTTTCAAATGTGGAAAGATATCCCATTTCAACCCTTTTCTAAAATAATTGGTAATATAATATAATATTTCATACCTACTCAATAAATAAATGCTTTGTATTCTCAATGCATTGAAATTTTTCATATTTTTAGAATTCTAAGTTATATTTTTTATTCAGGGTTTTTGTGTCGCCGCTTACCTATGTAAGATAATTAAAAGCCAGGACTATGTAAAAGAATATTAATAGTGCGTAACTCAATTTATATTTTACATTCTCTTCGATGTGAGCATTTGCAAGCGATAAAAGCAAGCGACAATCGCTATAGCCAGCCCTTTAACCCTGTCCGATATGCCTGAACGATTCAAGGGAACAACGTCCTGCAACCTTTTGCCACTCGTTAGGCAAAGTGCAAGCGACGTTGCAATAACCTTTAAGTTTATGCGCATTTGTTGGCTGCGTTTTCTCTAGTGAATTAGATTTAAGTACAGCCATCGAGAATGAGAGACACCTCATGCGATGCAGGCTGACGTGCGCAAATATGACTTGGCTGATGCTGCGAATTTGTCAGACGACAACAACAGCTGTGTGTCATCCCCGAAACCCCACCCGGCTCCTCCGGCAGGTGGTTGTAAAATGACGTGTGTTGATTTTATGGCGTTTCCGGGCTGATGTGAGTGTTCCTGTCTCTGAGCGTTATGTACAAGCTTCGCACTTTGCAGTTAGTGCATCATTTGTATGCATTAAGTATAAATTGCAACAAGCACCGACAAAATGTACTCTACCTTATATTTCGAACTGATGTGTTTCTAAATTGGATGGTACTGCAGTAGTTGTTGTTTTTGCTGTTGTGGTTTTATAACAGTCTGGGCAGAAATGTGACATCAAAGCGCGTTAGACACTTGTGCGGTTTTTTTATTGTCAGCTGCCAATCCACCGGCCGACAGCCCACCGCATCTATGCCAGGACAAAGCTAACGCCATCATCTTTATATCAATGTGTGTGTGCGCTTGCGTGCTTGTGTGTGTGCGTTTAGTGTGTGTATGCATATCATCATGATTATGATCAGCGAGCGCAGGGGCACTTAGCGCTTGTAATGCTGTTGCTTCTGGCACTTTTGTCGGCTTGCTGCACATCAAAGGCGCCGCGTAATGAGCAGCACACGCCAACGTACTCCTCAGGCAGGCTTTCTACCCAGTGGGGTCTCTCACTCCCCATGCCGCTCGTTCAACATCGCCGACTAGGGCAAATTGACTTTGTCTGTGTATTTTTGACACCTGCGGCAATTCGTTTTCATGCCCATGCCAGCCCTGCGCTCCACTCATCCGACCAGCTCGAGCTCGTGCCCCTGGCACACCCTGCTGCTGCTGCTGCTTTTTTGCATCAAAGATACTTTAAAGCGAGCCCAAAACTAGTTCACAGATAGCAGTGGGTGTAAGGGGCCTGTGAGCCAGGCAGGGGAATGTTGACGGGGCTATGGCCGGGCAACCTACATATTTTCAGTCATGGTTTTTGGGGCGTGGCCCATGTTTTGCTTTTTGGCATGGTACTTCGTAGCCGCAAGTCTCGAAAATTCTTTAGCTGCGACGTAGCACAGCTAGCAAATTTTTGGGCCAACAAAAAATACACAGAAAATCCAGAACCAGCTTCATCGCTACCCCCGAAAAAAAAAGTATGCCAAGGAATTTCGCTTCATACATTAAATATTTTTGCAGTATCTCCTGCCACATGCTGTGCATCTAACTGTGCGAGAATCACAAGTCATCATTATTGGAATATACAAAAGTTCAGACCTTCCAATTAGACATTCAAGAAACCATAAGCCTCAAAAAATAACTATAAGCAATTTCAAAACTCGTTGAAGACTGCAAATGAAAATTGTGTGTTTATACGCGATCAGCATCAACAACCAATGTCCGTCTCTCTACCTGGACACGTCGATCTAAATACTTTAAGAGGCAGACTGTTTATTGTATTGATTCAAAAATAGCATAAGTATTGATTACAACGCGGTTGACGTAGGTGATATATCGCCAAGACTGGTTGGCTCCTCAGGCTTTAGCGTGGACAAACGTCAAAGTCGTATTCTTTTAATAAAGCTGCATCGTCCCGTAGGTAGTCGGGGAACTCTGGGGCGTCTCCTAAGTCGTGGTTGGACGAGGAACTTGAACGATCTTCTCTCCCTCCCGATTACACACCTCCAGTCTTGTCTCCATTTTGGGGAGTAGTTCTGTGCAAGGTAGAATTTCTGATGTACCAGTCAGCGACTTGGGACTTATCGAGCACTAGCGAGCAAAGCATACTTCCTTAATTAATACCTTAGGATTATCAAAGTACAGCCTATAATTTCCACTTACAGTCCCTATATATGTGCAACTTATGCAAAATAAAAACGAAAATACAGTAAATTATTCTGTTGGTTATAATTTTTGATGTCGCCTTTCAAAAAAATTCATGTTTTGATAATTTTGTTATTAAATTTACATCTAGGACTATTTAATTCATACAACGTTGAGTTTGGTTGAGTGGACCTGCATCTTTGATGTCCATGTGACCTGTGACTGGGACATCTGCGTATCTCAGTCTCATTTTTTGGCATTTTTTATGTAAATGTCGTTGCATAAACATAATTAACTTGAAACGGCTTGCGGCCGTATGAAACTTTTTTATGGCCTTATAAAAGTGCTTACGGGCTGCGCCTGTGGCCGATTGAGGTTCGAGTCGATGAATCTGCCCGAAAGTTTTCCCATAAAGCCGACGGCTCAGCAAACACAAAATTTGAGCCAGGCGCCAAAAACAGCACTAATGTTGCATTCTTATGGACGCATCCACCTGTCACAATTGGAAACTGGCTTTTGTGTATTGTGTAGTGTGATCGCCAGGCGCAACAGTTTCGAATTTGTATGCTGTATGATAAGTCAGTAGCATAATACAAGTGTCAAGTGCTTTCAATTTCACCCAACTGCAAACGCAACTGCACAAGTGTAACATTTTCAATTGTATAAGGGGCCAGAAGTGGGTTACAACCAGCAAATCGCAACCCTGTACCCATTCTATGGTCCCACATCTATATCAATTGTGCTTTGGCTCCCCCGCGGCGTAACGTCTGTGAGTTGAAATATATGTGTATGTGCTGTCTTGGTTGCAGCTACAATGTCAGCGTTTAAAGCTCAATTGGCTTAAGTGGCAGCGCATTTGAACTCTCAGCTCTCTCAGCTGTGGGCAACTACTCACCACAACAACTACTACTGCGTATCGTTTGACCCGTTGCATGCGGCATGTGCCAAGCAAATTAAATACAAAAATGTGCAATAAAGTGAAACAGCCCGAGCTAACGAATCGTTTTGCGGTCTTCGAATGACGAGTCAACTAATGAAGCGTGTACCCCTCTTGAACACATAATCCGTACTTCGATTTTATCCTAGTTGAGCTTTGTTTTAAGCGGCTTAGTTTAATTAGCAAATGATTGATGGCGACTATTTCTTCACAGTGCTCGCTAGTTATTTTCCAAACCCATTGAATTTGGTTAACAAAGTATAATGGTTTTCTATAAATCTGTGCAGTCTCGAGCAAAATAAAGCATTTCTGAGCCCGTTACGATCAAAATGACGAGCTCAGTCGATCCAGCCGTGTCCGTCAATATGTCCGACTGTGTGAAAGAGCAACAAGAGACAAGATTTCTTCCCCATCAATAAATGTCAATTTTAAAACCGGTCTTCTTAAATATAACTCAAAAATTAAAATACATACTTACACAAGACTTTGTAAGGTTCTTCAGATTGTCATAATCCAATCCCATCGGAATTGTATTTATTAAAACAATAATTTGTTGTTTAATGGTATATTATTTTACACTTAACAAAGTTCAGTGTGAATTAATGTATAGTGCTTTACCACATGTTTTACAGTTTGGGCATCATCAGAGGAAAACTTTTTGCACCTGGTTCGGAACGTATCGAGTTGCTTAAAACAAAACTAAATTTCTGTGCAAAATGAATGACAACTTCTCTCTGTCGCAAGCCTATTGCATAGCTCTTAGTGCACTTTTGTAGCCGCTACTCTACCGCCCTAAGCCCTACGTCTACATTAAAGAGTTCACTGAGTGCAACATTCAATATATGCTTATATTTTATTCAAAGTCCTGCTAAAAGAACTGTTGAAGGTACATGTATCTTGCGCACCTGCACAGCTGAGAGACATGCTTTGCGCATGATAAAGCATTCTAAACATTTTACATGGTAAATGAGACTCAAAATATGTGTTTGCTAGTGCTTGCTGCTCCTAGTGAAAGATAGAGGCATTTGAAATTATATATTGCGCATACGCGATGTTGTGCGCACTGCTGCGCGCCCGCTTAATGGAATGCAGCTCACGCATAATTGCACATCATTTGCTTGAACTACTCAAATGGCCTGCAGTGGGCGTGCGAATTGGCAAACTTTCAAGAGTAATCTTGCGAACCAATACCTTGCCAATATTTTTGATGTGTTGGCTCATTTGTGAACCCCTTTTAGGCCCGTACGCACACACACACACATGCACACATGATGGTGTAAGTTTGACGTTTGCTTACTTTTTGACGTTAGCTTTTTAAACGCGCGCAATTCCATAACTTCAGCCAGGCCACAGGCTCGCGTGCCATTCCCTCTCGCCACGCAGCTTCTTCGAACTGAGAATCTAATAAAACTTTTGCCAGTTACCTGCAAGCAGCCACAGCAGAAGCAAAAACAAGGTTGCTTATTTGCTTATCATATGCAAATTTGCATGTTTCAGGCTGAAGTTTCCCTTTGACAGGCAGCCGGTTAGCAAGCAAAAAGTAAAAAACCCCAAAGAATGTTTAACAAGCTACCTAAGGGGGTAGCCGAGCACAAAGTTGAAATAACAAAATTTCTGCTTTTATTTTTTATGTGTACGAAGAGAGGCAGACGAGGGCATCTGACCCCAAAGACAACATATACATGTAAATATTCATAACGATATATGTATGTATGTTTGCAAATGGGTGTCTATCGGGGGCTTTGATTAGATAACGCAACGTACAGTGCACAATGCATTGCCTCAGGTCGCGCACTCAAAATAAACAGGCTAAAAATGTATGTAAAATGTTAAAAAATTTCCATACAAATATATAACTTACCATATAAGAACCATCACAACTGCCAGACGTCAGCAACGATAATAATATTCTATTTAATCACATTCATTTGAATTTGCACATGATTCGTGTTTCTCAATATTATTCATAAGACATTTGCATAATTTGGAAGCCAGCAAATGAGAGACCAATTGCACGAGGCGTGAGCTTGAAAAGGATACATTTTTAATGTTGAGGCCCAGCTGACAGAAAACAATAAAATAACAAAAAATAAAATTTGTAATTCTACGTAATGATGAGGATAAAATAAAAAAACATTTGTTTTCTTTTTTACCTTATTTCCATCTTTATAAACACACACACAAACACACGTACGCCATTTGTTGCGTAGTTCATGCTGCGGCTGTCCCTTTTTATACCCTGAGCCCATTAAAAATGGGTAAAACAGACAGAAGGAAGCATATCCGACTCCATAAATATATATATCAAAACCAATAAGAGCTAGAGACTTGAAATCTTAGTGACCGTGCAGATCAAGTATGTTTGCGATAATTCATAACTTACTCCGTTTCTAAGCAATCGATACACATCGATATCGAAATCCTGTTTTTTGAGCAACTTAGGTAAATTATAAGAAATAGAGTCACCAAATTGATATGTTGCTTCAAGAATAGTTTATATATATCGTGTATCTTTCATTTAGCTATCACCACCTTTCTGCTACCACCACGAAGCTACAATTTAATTGCAATTGACGTTTTGAGAATAGACAAAAATTTAATGGTACAATAAGATATACTGTAGAACAATTCATTAAGATCGATTCCGAGATTTTCTGTATGTACTACACACACACATTTATGTGCGTCTGCTTGAAATTATATCAACAGCAATGCTATTGCTTTCTGTGCTGCTGTTTTAACTGATTTACTTATCTTCCTGCAAGCGAGCGCGTAGAGCGCGTTACATTAGGTGTTGGAATAATAGGGTTTAAGGTATTTGCTAGTCGGGAGCTCCCGACTAGAACCTCTTACTTGTTTCCTTTTAGCACCGCTCCAAAATAAATGAGTTCCTGACTAATTTTGTGGGTGTTCTTCCAATATGAATAATTACCAAAGACCAAAAGTATATTTTCAAAAATAGACTTTTGACAATTTCGATGGAAACTGGATCAGGGCATTCAAAATGTGAAATGTACTGGATCCAAAAGCCTACACTGGAAACACCGTAATCTATCGACAATTTTGAACAAACTTGATATGTTCATGTATACAGTGAGAGGGAGAGCGAGAGAAAGCTTAACTTGGTTTTCTAGTCCGGATGCCTACTTTATGAAATATTTAAATATCGAAAAAATGTAACTTATTTCTGGGATTGCTTATAAGCAAGTAGCACACATGACGAAAAACTGGCTTAAATATTTAAAGAATTGCGAAAGAACCCCGAAAGCCGAAAAATGAAAGCAAACCTAATTTCTAGCATTGAGTCAGTTCATATGAACTCTCCAAATTGGCGCGGACAGATAGACTGACACATGTGCAGGGAATTAAATTCAAAAGACTTAACGATAGAAATGCACTTTTTTTTTTAGCATGTGCCGCCGACTGAAATTCAATTACAGCTGCAACTTGCGGCAAGAAGAACAATTACAACGAACAATGCCAAAAATGGTGGCCATTTTAATATATCAGTCGAAAAAGTACGCAACAGGGGGAAAAGGACCCGAGTGTGCATGCAAAACAAATAACAAGGAAATGAAAAACGAGCTCAACTGGAAAATTGCATGGCTCAACCAAAAATACATACACAGCAACACATATACTAGAGAGCATGCACACCCACACATACACAAGCACACACACACACACACACACACTGATACACACAGAGAAAGTCAGCTCCCCGCCGACGTCATTTCCGGCATTGTTATGCTGCGATGTTGTTACTGCCACTACTGTTACTGCGGTTGTTGCTGCTGTGTTTGTCAAGAAGCCTACTTAAAAATGCGCTGCATTCTACATTCAGCAACAGTAGCTACATCTGTACAAGGGCTCAGTTTGAAATTAACAACAAATAGTAAGCATGTGGAAAGATATGTTTAGTTTGCCAAATAGTATAACAACAAATAAATTGTCGGCCAGTCAAATACGTTGTGAATTTCAATAGTTTCATTTTTTTAACTGTCAGTATTTTTAGCACACAATTTTTCTTAAAAGAGATCGAGCTAGAGACGCCCTATAATCTACTTTATTGGATACATAATTTATATGAGATCTTATTATTCAGAATGGTTTATTTTTTATGTCCTTAAATATTAGTAAATAATATGAACAATATATTTATATATACTGTACTAACGAATATAGCCCGGCCTGCCCGTTGCACGTATAAAATAAATGTTCTCAAAAAGCTTTGAAAATGGTTTTAAAACTGATCGGACGGTAAATAAACAACTTTCATTCAAACGCTTTCCGCCAGTTTACCACTGTAGCGGGTGGAGTTTTCCAAATCGTTAAAACACGTATTAATTAAGTTCATTAAGTTTAAAAATTAATTTAGGGGCGAAACGTCATTCAAATGAATTTGAACAAAGAACTTTGAAATTGAGTTAGAGGCCGAACGGATGGTAAACAAAAAAGGCTTAATACAAACGTTTTTCGCGATTTTTGCATACTTGGAATTGGTGGAGTTTCTTATTTAAACCAAAATAATTATATTGCTGATTGGATTTTCGCAATCAAGCAATCAGCTCTCAAAATAACATTTTGCATAGCTCTTTGGAGATTCGTTCAGAGCGACTTTGAATTGGGTTTAATGCCGTGTGTTGCTTAATAAAGCTTTCCCACCTATCTACATTTAAGGGATAGCGCGAAAATGAATAAACAGCCAGCAAATGATGTTTCGCTTTCGCAGTATTGACAAATATCAAATAAAAACTCTGCCCGAAATTTTTTATGCGCCAAAACAAATAAATAGAAATATAAATATAAATGGATAAATGGATATATGGGAATGGAAATGAAATAATCTGCCAACTAAAAGGCGCATAAATAGCTGTCGAATGACATTCATTTTCTGTTGTTCTTCTTTATGGCAACCATTTTGTTGTCGCTCATCACATGTGTATGTGTGTGTGTTCGTGTGTGTCGCCATTTTGTGTGCCTTTCAGCGCATATTCGTATCTATGTACGCAATGTTGACGCCATCATTCGTACGTTTTTTGTTGTCATTGCGGTCACTGACACATGTACGTGTCACTTCAGACATAAGCGCTGAATTATGCAGACAAGATGGTTGGCAAATTGTGATTTGATATATCGCTGGGTGTGGATTTTTAGAAGCGACTTACATTGACGGCAGCGACAACGTCAAATCAATGCCATTAAATTACAAATCATTAACATAAAATTAGCATAATTAATTTTGCACCTAAGAACAGCGCAAGTGTTGATTAAGTTGATTAGCTAGATATTTCTCGCTGTTCTGCATGTGAAGGGCAGCAGCCACGTTTGTAATTTCCCTGCAGGAAGCCAAAGCTTGCCCGCACACAGATAGTTTCATGGATAAGGATGTCTGGCGCAGACAGATCAAAATTCCAAGGTACTTGACCAAAATTCAAGCATCGAAATTATTGCTGTTCTCGTTTATTCGTTTATTTATAGTTTTCATTATATTTGAGATTTTGCAGAAGATGTTGAGCAAAACTTTTGCCTAGCGAAAAGGAAACAAATACTTGTGAAGAGCACAAATTGAAAGTTTTGCGCTCTATGCACTTCACAATTTATTGTTAGCTGCAATTTACAGATCTTAAGTATTGTGAGAAATAGAAGAAAACAAATAAAAATGTTCAATGAAAAATTTGGTGAAGAATTCCGTATCAACGAAATAATTTGTATTTCTTAGAAACGAATTGTAAAAAGAAGAAAACAATAGTTGTTATATTCAGTAAATGTTTTCAAATAAATATGGATATAATACGATATGGAAAATTGAGCTTTGATCCCCTCGAACTTTCGAAGTATAACATACTTGAATTATATTAACAAAATTTACGAAAATTTAACAACTCTTACATATTATTTATTGCATAATTTTTAAAACCTGTTTTGAAAGTAATAAGATAATGTGCGAATACTTCTCTGAAGATTTAATTTCTCCCGTAATGATTTGCATAAAAGGCTTTCAGATATGTGATAAGTAAAGCTAATAAATGCAGACTGGTGAAAATGTCTTGGTAAACAGAATATACCAAAAAAAAATGTTTCTCTATACAGTGTCTTCCTATAAAACGTTGTGTTATAGTAGTGCGATGTTTAAATAATTGGCTTATATATTATCAGCATAGTTGAACTTGTAAATTCCGGGCATAGACAATATATCTTTCAGAATCTTCTCAAAAGAACTCAATTTTTCGGCTGATCGTTCCTATAGCAGTTTTATATTATAGTGGTCTGATATAGTGTTATGATATAGAGGCTTGCGGATAGATATCTTAAAAAAGGCAGTTTTCTATACAACTTAATTATCGACCGATCGTTCCTATGGGAGTTATATGACATATATGCTAGTCTAGATACATATACTTTAACGAAGTCGGACATGACAAAATAATAAAATTAAAATAATATCATCTAAACGAGCATACAAATATGTAATGTTTTTAATTAGTCTGATACTAGCAACAAGCATCATCATACTGATTCAATTTCTTTTGCTATATATATTTTTAAAGCGGGATGGCTCAGATGACAATCAGTAAAACAAACAACCAATTACATATAAATGCCAACATTTGTATGCATATAGAATAGCTATTATTTATTCTCAGATTCTGACATTTAACCATGACTTTAAAGCAGACAGCAAAGCTAGCATACAGATACAAGTCTTTTTAGTTTCAGAGAGCAGAGCAATATCTGTTGTCCGCCACGCAATTTTGTAATGGATTGTACACACACACCAGCACACGCACATTGTGCATATAGAGCACACCAATGCATACTGTTGTACTAACCAATTACCAGAATCAATAACAATGAAGCTAGCCAAACATGCTGGGTACTACATATATTTGGTTACATTGCTATCATATTCAGAAATAGCACTTTCATAAAAAAAATTGTCATACTACGAGAATTCTGGAGTAAACAAAAAATCTTGCACACTTTTCATAATTGGATGCACAGTACAGCCAGGACATGAGCACAAAAATACTGTCGTTCAATAGAAGAAAATAATACCAGGAACATCATGTAATTTTAACGCATAAAAGAAATGAAGAGAATTGCTTGTTTGTGCTTAATGTACCCAAACATTGCAGCACTTGGGCTTGTCGGTTAGTATAAAGTAAAGTTTTCAAGAAATGCACAGACCAGAAAGGTGGCGAAGTATAAATGAAACTTATTTAAAGACGATGGGCCAAATATGAAGAAAAAGTATAGCGTATAGTTATTGGCTCTGTATTAAACACTTTCAAAAATATTTCTTGTAACTTAAAGTGCATAAAAGCATTTATGGCTGGCAAGTATAAATCTATTAAGATAAATTAGATTAAAAAATTTAAGAAATTAAACAAGTAAGGCAACTGAACAAGGAGAATCCGAGCTTGATACCCAGCACATCCATGGCAATAACTAGCTAGCTCGTTTGAAAAAAAATCTATTATATTATTGTACTTAACATAAGCTATATCATATTTTATATACGTTAACTTTCCTTGTATATAAGATTATTTTTTAAATATAATTATGGTGTAAACTGTTGGTGTTTAAAAATGTTAATAGATTTCATTATGGAAATGATTTTATTTCACAACAAAATATATTACGTTTTGCCCAGAGTGCGGGAAAATATATTTTCAGACTCTAGATTATGTCCCCTAACAGCAGCTGAACAATATCAAAAATGTTAAAGCACAAAGTACATGCGGCTGGGCAGCAAAGTGCAGAGACATAAGCTTGCAAGAGGCCACCAGATATGCAACTAACCCATGCACATTCCTTTATATATTTTTATATGTTTGTGTGAGTGCGTATGTGTGGGTGTGTTGGTGTGTGTACATGTAGGCTGCCTATCTTGGGCCATCTTGAGTGCTTGAGCCAAAGATTAAATGGTGTTTATTGCTGCACCGGAGCAGCTCTGTGCACATTTGGCGCTGTCTCTCTAATACTTTTGACACTTTTGCAAAATTTATGAGTGCACACATATTCACACTCACACCTTCACATGCTTAGAAATTGTACAGTGCAAAGACAACTCAAAGTAAATAAATAAACAAAAAGTATTTGTAATGCAAATGCAGGGCAGGATCTAGCTTACAAGCGCTGCAACCATAACTTATTTCTGATTCTGTTTCAAATATCTATTTTCGTATTTTCTTACAGGGTTGGACCTGGCCTAAGATGGGTAGCGTTCTTTTTGCAGCTGTCCTCATAGCATTACACTTTACGACCGGGTGCCTGGCCAACCCAGATGCTAAACGTTTGTACGACGATTTACTGAGCAACTACAATCGACTCATAAGACCTGTGGGTAACAACTCCGATCGTCTGACGGTCAAAATGGGTCTAAAACTGTCACAGTTAATCGATGTGGTAAGTACATACATCTATCTATACACTAGAAGAAATTGCGCAGCCATTCCGAGATCAAATAAATAATAATATGTTTGTATTTTATTACAACCTGAAATAGTTATAAAAGTAACAGAAAACAAGGAGCCAGTTTTATATTAAACGAGAAAGAAAGGCTATCTTCGGCACGCCGAAGATCTAATACCCTTGGAGACCAAACCTTATTATAATGATCATAGTGCTTTGCCCATATCTAAGAAGCACAGGGAAAATAGTTAATACCGAATCTGCTCAAGATATCTTGATAAACAAAAAAAATGTTTAATCAAAAACCTACATTTCGACCGATCCTTTCTATTGCAGATATATGATATTGAAGTCCGATGTAAATAAGATTTTGTATAAATGATGAGAGCATAGAGAAATCTTTAAATGCCGTGTTAAATCAATATATCTAGAATGACAAAAAAAATGTTCCATACAACAACTTAATTTGCGCCCGATCGTTCCTATGGCAGCTATATGATATAGTGGTTCGATCCAGCTGGTTTTGACATATGTGCTGCGTGTAACAGAAAGAGCGATTTCTGGAAAGTTTATGAAGATAGCTTTAAAACTGAGAGATTAGTTCGCACAGACACAGACAGACGGGCATGGCTATATCGACTCGGCTGTTGATACTGATCAATAATATGGGGTCGGAGATGTCTCTTCTATGCGTTACACATATCAAGGCAAAATTATAATACCCTCTGCAAGGCTATAAAATAAAAAAAAAAAAAAAAAAAAAAAACATAAATATCTGGTTCTTATTTTTCAAGAATAGGCTTTGAACCCCAAATTCTTTATCGCGGATACTGACACTTATCCTACTACGCTACGCATTTTGTGTCATTGCAACTGGTAAAAGGGAACAATTTATTTGTGCAAATGTATGTATCAGGCAGAAGGAAGCATCTCTGACCCCATAAAGTGTATATTATGCTTGTTATTCTTGACCAGCAGCACAAGCCGAGTAGATCTAGACATGTCTGCCTGTCCGTCCTTCTGTCCGCCCGTCCATTCGCATGTATGAACGCAATTATTTCTGAACCTATTAGAGCTACAAAGATAGATTCTCCTAGTGCCCGCGCAGTAAGAGTTTGTTTCTGATAATCGATTACTTGCAATATACAAATCGATATCGAGCTCTCTTAGCGCGAGGAAGATGGTTCAGGTTATTCGCTAGGCAGAAAGTGCTTAGTAGAGCCTCTTACTTGATTCAATTAAAAATAAGTGTTTTGTTTTTTAATTTTTCATTGTTGCGGTAATACATATAAAAGATTATTAAAATACTCCACAGAAAAAAGGCATCTCCTTTTCCTAGTTAAATACCATTTGCATGTGGCTAACCGAAATCACAGTAATTTGTTTTTAGCGATAATGGTATCAAGTTTAGCTGTCAAGTCTTTGACAACTGAGCTGCTCAGATGACAATCAAAGCAGATTAATTTCCAAAGCCAACAGCGCAGCGGTAAGCAGGCAAATGGCATTTGTATAAGCCGCGGGAAAGCAGCAGCCGCGTAATTAATAACTGTTTACCAAACGCTTAAAAGGCAGTCGAACTAATCCAGCACTGTTTACCCAATCCGCCGATTCAACTCTTCCACTTGGTAGTGAACATTGTTTGCATAATAAATCAATGGGCTCTGCGATTTATAGTACATCGACTGATGATTGTTTTGTTGATTAAGTTTGCAATTGCAGTTGGGGCCCCTGCACACTGCTCAATCAAGACAGCAAAAATTGCGCAATATATCAGAAGCCAGTGCCGGGGCCAAATTGTGTGTATGAAAAAAAATCTCCAATTGCCAGCAGAGTCAAACACAGCAATAGCAGCAGCAACGGGGCAAGCGATTGGCCCACAATCTTCTGCTCGGTTTGGATGCACATGACAACCGGAAATGGGAAACCGGCTAACAGTTACGTGTGCTGTTGGCCACACAGTTGCTGAGCTTTACAGCTCCCTGCTGCATTTGGTCTTTCGCTTCCTGCTGGCTTCGGCTCCTTTTTTGCTGTTATAAATCACGCGCTAAGCACCAAGACCACTAAAAGGCATGCCAAACAGTCGGTAGCAGCCATACCAGTCATACCAATGCACATTGGGCTTGGCGCTTTCAAGCCATAGCCAAATTCAAGAATGGTTTTCCAAAAAGGCAAGTGGCATTAAAGAGAATGAATTTAAGAGCTAAAATTTGACTGACTTAACTGCGCATTATATTAAAGCGGGGCCGAAATGCTCCATTACATTTTATTAATCAATTTTCCACCCTTTGGAGTTAAACACGTCAGCGACCCCCATATCCCGCCCTGCCGGATGAAAACCAAAATATTTTCAAACAACAAATTTGTAAAAATTATCCACGATTCTGTAGAAATTTGTCACTGACAGCAGTCAAATATTTTTCAATTTCTATTTTTCTTGCTATAAGATTGATTCCCGATCCGTCAGTAGTGAACAAACAATTTAACATATATAAATTTCTAATTGTAATAATTTAATTAAAGAATTTTAAATTCTTTCGATTAATTTGCTTCTTTTTAAGATAATTTGGTATATGATTTAGTTTGTCATATCCAAGCACTGTGCTTCTGGCATAAGGTGCTTATAAACGAAATTGCTTTTATGTGTGTGAATGCGTGTGTGTGTGTGGAATAATATTACACATACGCTCTGTGTGCTCGACTGGCAACTGGCTTGAAATATTCGCAGAATTTCTTTTATTGCACTAGTTCAATGGTCACTTTTTGTTGTATTAATGTTGTTGTTGTTGGAATGCACGTGTTGCCTGCTTTCCTTATTGGCGTACAAGTCCTTGTAAATGCTATCGAGCGAAATCTCTGCACTTTGTTTAGTTGGTTCTTACTCCTATTGAAAATTGCAATCATTGGCAACAGAGAGCAGTACATATGTGTATATATGCAGAACAGATTACAACCAGATGCGTAGCCAGTATTTTTAATTTAATTTCATCTATTTCCATTTGCTTGACCTTTGTGATTTGCGAGTCAGTATGTAGCATTAGTTACTTATTACTGGCAGTGCAGCTGCTCATTCAGGTGAATTATGACCACAGATTTGTAGAGAGGGTGAGATTTGGTAAAAGGACAGTCTTGGAGAGGGGGTGTCAGGCAGACAGTTGGACCTAATTGCTGGTTGCTATGTTACTTTGAGCTCTGCTTGCCCGAAAATGCAATTATATGGAAGCTGTGTCCTATAAATGTGGAATGCATGATCTGGGAAAGAGAGAGAGAGAGAGAGAGAGAGAGAGAGATAGAGAGAGAGAGAGAGAGAGAGAGAGAGAGGGAGAGAAAGAGAGAGAGAAGAAACATTAAATCAAATTCCAGGTTGAATGTAGAGTAAGCATAAAAGCAATTACGGTCAAGTGTAGAATGCACACAGATACTTAGAAATTAAATGTAATGTACCTCTGTTAACTCAGTAAGTCAAATAAAAACTTTATTTGACATTTTATAATAACCATTATAAGAATCCGACATACAAATGAAACTGCCGCATTTTGCATACTTTATTTAATACTTATTCAGTCAGAGCTGGGAAGGAATTTTTATGTTGCACTCGGTGTCGGTTATTGCAAAGTTTATTTACGGCAAACAGGAAATTCGATTTAAATTGTAAACAAGTCCAAGACGAGAACGTTGCTGAATCCTTGCCATGGCCCCAGTGGCCACAGACATAAAATGCAAATTCAGTTGCATCTGAAATGCTTTAAGCTTCAGCTTAAGCAATTTAAACACTGTATATCCTGTGCATCCTGTTCGGTGTAATGCAACCGGCAGCCATAGCTCTAAGTGTGAATAAGCAAGCAGCCGCAACAGCAATAACAACAACTACACCAATTACATAGCAACAAACCCAGTTAGGCAGCTGTAGGTGTGAACCGGCATAGACATGGACATGGACATGGACATGGCCTGCCGGAGAGACGAGGCGAGAAAGCTGATGTTGCTGTTGGAGCTACTACAGCGGATGCCGCACATAAAGCATAAAGGATACGCGCAACGCTTGTCTTCGTCCTCGACGCCCTGACGCAACTGCAATTTTATCTCTTCCTTATGCCCGCTGTCTTTGTGCCTGGTCTTGGCTTTGTCGTTTTATTGCCGGTTTTCCGCGTCGCCCGCACCTAATGACCTTTCAGACGTTCAGACGTTTAGCCGTTGGCTGCCAACTAGCAACTGGCAATTGGCAACTGGGAACTGTTAGCTGGCATCCCAGGACGGCGCACTGAGCGGGTGATTAGTAGGTCATCTTGGCAGCAGCACCACCAACACCGCAGCGTGTGCTGGCAACCACCAGTAAAATCTATTAACACTGAGTATCTGAACATATTGCTTGCTAGATTCAGCAACGGGGGCGCTCGTCCTAGCTGCTGATATTATCTGGATGTCTCGACGGAAAGCGCGTTACAACGCGTCATTATCATTTTGTCGTTAATTACATTTTTCAACGCTTAAGTGATTTATTCCGCAATTTTATCGTTTTCTAATTTTTTCTATTGAATCCTGTCGCCTGCTCCCAACATATTTACGCTTAATGAGTTGCTTTGCCGCCTGCCACCTAAATAAATATGAAAGGGAAGCCAACGGCAGTAACTGCCAAGGAGCTTGACACGGACTCGTTGCTCGCTTAACGTGTGTATATTTGTACATACCATATATATAAGTGGATACTCAGGAGGGACTCTGAAGCCTGAATAGAAGGTGACATTATGGTTCCATGCGTACATCTGTTAAGGCGCAAATTAGAGCACTTTGATATGCTTGAATTATTTGCGATGAATCCTGAATGCGTCAACATGAATTACTTGTTTCCTTAGTTTAGATATCATGTTGGCTTTGTCGAAAAAATAAAAAAAAAGTTCTGTGTGTTTTTCTAGGTATGTAAGCAAACGATTATTTATTCATCTCTATATATAAAATTGTTTGTTGTTGCTTGATTGGTGATCGACGCACAGCCCAAACCGTAAAAGGTAAGACGGGATTTCGAACAATTCCACCGGCAAGTGTGGAAAAATTTGGAAAAATATTTATATGCTACTTTCTTGTCTACCTTTCGATTGGTCTCAAACTCATTTTCAAAGGGATACGTTTCGCCCTTTATTTCATATCCAAGGATCTACATAAAAATCATTTGAGACGTGTTACACATTTTTTCCAAAATCAAAGCAGTATCGGTGGAAGTTGCAACTCAAAGATATTTCATGTGAAATTATAATTTGTTTTCAAGTTTTTTAAGATATTTTCATCCAATTAGCACCATTCTAAAATATCAGAAATATCATACAACAAATGTCTGTAGAGGTAGACATATCTTCGGCAGCCGATGATAGCCGTATCTTATCGTTTATTAACCCATTTAAGTTAAACTTACAAGTGCTTTGATTCTTACGACATACCATTATATATATAATTAAGAAAACAAACCAATTAATGCATGTTGCCTTGTCTACTCATTTTTATCCCATATTCCAAGCAACCACAGCGCAACTGAACTGCTTAACTGTAGAAGAATAATTGGTATAGATCTATGCGTATATTTTGTCTTTCCACTTCATATAATGCTCGAAATGGCTTTGTGAGCTTTTATAGTTAAGCTAACTTTTAATCCACTTCGCAGCTTACCAACTCGGTGCTTAAACTTTATGCTTGTTTAGCTGCTCTTAACTTTAATTGCATCAGCTACCCCAGCAGACCGGGATTCCAGTTTTACTTCTACTCTTATTATTTCACTCTAATCTCGTTTCTCTTTCAGTGACAGTCTGCGCAACATAAATTGATTAAAACTCAATGATGCTTTAAGAATACGGTCTCCAGCCACGACTGTGACTGTTTCTTATTGCTGCAGCTCACTTCAAACTAACCAACTGCAGCACCATTTAACCCAGGACATGCCATGAGCTACCTCTTGACAGCCACCAACAGCCCCACAGTTCCACCAAGCAAATAACCCTACAACCTCCACTCAGCTGAGCAAATTTCAAACGCATTTGTTAACCGATACCAAAGCAGTACAGTTGTTCAGTAAACTAAAAAAACATTCACTCGTCGCAACGATTTTCAATTTGATGGTCCCCACTCAATGCTTAAGTTGTCACAAATGTTGAGACCTGGCACCAGCCACCAGCCGCGAGCCCCCGTTGACAGCTCAGCCAATCACTTGAGCTGTATTTTATACCCTGTTCTTAGTATTTTTAAAAGTGTTTCCATTACAATTGCACGGATCCAAAAAAAAAATATTTTGATTGTTACTACTGACTAACCACTGAACCTAAGCCAAGACCGAAATATATCTTTTGTAAAAATGGCTTTGTTTAAGACCATAATTTTATTTTAAGAATTGAATATAGTATTACAAATATTGGAAGTGGAAACCTGGGTTCACAAACCGGCGGAAACACAGGTTCCTATCGGCTGCGACAGTATCGATACATATAACAATATTTTAAAGTTTCATTTTTAAAACATATTTAAGGAGTATCTCAAAGTCGAACACTCGGACCCATTTGCCAAGACTTGGTCAAACTTAAAACGAATTTGCATGTCCAATACAAATTGAATTCTTGCTTGAGCTCGCATCTAACCAAATTTTTCGAATTTATTTTCTTTGCAGAATCTAAAAAATCAAATTATGACTACCAACGTTTGGGTGGAGCAGGTGAGTCAAACTTTCCCATTTTTGTAAAATTGTATTTTGGCTACTCTCTAAACTGTTTTCCGGTTGGTGCGATTTTGCATATTGGCAGCTGGCAAACTTCCTGACGTTTTCGTGAAACATGAATACACCATTTGCACGCTTCGCTGCAAGCGAATGCAAAATACATTTTGCTAGCCAATCCTCGCATTCGTATAATGCCAATTGTGACCAGCTTTTGGCTCTGCCATTGAAAGCGTTGATTTGGACTTGACCAAGTGGCCACGCTGGCCACTTTGCTGCAGCTACTCGTTCATATATGTGCATTGGCTTTGCACTAATGCGATGGACTGTTGCAACTACAATAACATGAGAATAGCCAAAAAACTATATACATCTATATATATCTAGTGTCTGACTCGCGCGTTTTTTTCGAGTTGCTTTTAAGCACTTGAATGGAACAGCTTTAAAGTTTTTGCATAAAATATGCACACAAATCTTCTGCACAAATTGCAGTCAATAGCTCTCAAAAGCTTATTCCTAGTTTCTGGTTACCCAATTGACAAAACAAAAGCAAACCCCAAAATTAGATATAAATTATGCAACACATCTGTTTCTCTATGTGTGTGTGTGCGCTTCTATTCCAAATTTGTGCATGAGCATTTCTGCTATTATCAATTTTGGCTCATTAAAAATTCAATTCGCATGTGTTCTAGGAAACGATTTCAACTGAAAATCGCTTACGCAAAGTAACATGATAAAAATGTGAATTAAATTTTACTTACTCTTATAATTTTTTTTATTTAAATATAATAATTATGTAAATACATACATTGTACATAACATTTCATAAGCTGCAACAAATGTAGACAAAAGCAATATGTAAAATGTAAATTAAAGTAAAATGTTAATGGCAAAATTTTTAGCCTGTCCGGCAAGCTATGCCCCAACTGAGAGTGGTCAGAAAGCAAAGATTTTATCAGGGAAAGTAAAGTCATGTGGGCCTGGTGAATCTGGTAGGTCTAGATGGAACAGAGAATTGAAGCCGGCCTTACAGAAACGAAGAGTCTATGTCGCCAACAATTAACTTATGTAGGATGAGAACAACGAGGATTTGCATATGGCACTTGCTTCAGAATTTAACAAAATTTTATTTCAATCGTAAAAAACATATGAAAATTGTATTCAGAAGTACGCCTAGGTTTATCGAGCTAAATAAAGATTTAAAAATGGAAATGTCTGTGTTAGTAGTTAAATCAATTGGAGTAAAACAAGTTCGGAACACCTAAACATTATTCAAGTTTCATTATTTGTTTGTATTTATTGTTGCTGCTGACGTTACTGCAATTTATGTTTGGCTTCAGCATTGCTGCGCGTCTATAAATATGCACACACATTATGTCAATAAGGGCGCAAATACGTGCACCCGCATAAACGTTACTGTTTAAGTGTATCTGTGTGCGTGTGACAACTGACTGTAGATAGCCTATTTAGGCGGGCTTTTGCATAGAAAGCCAAATGACTCCAAACAGCTGGTAGCCGCAATTAAATGTACAATCTATTAAACGAACAACAACAAAAAGTCGCCAAAAACCAACAAATTTAAGAATAACATTACCTTTACCGCTCCATATATTTTAATTAGTTTCCAAGCCCGAATGAGCAAACAATTGTTCATTAAAAGCGGACAAATTAACTAATTTTATAGATTACAAATCAATGAGGCATCAGCGTGCAACCCGAATGAAGATATATAAAAACAAAAAACATGCAAATAATAATGCGGTATCAATATTTTCATTTATTATGATTATCGTCTGCAACGGTTATTTATTTTAATTATTGTGCGTTTCATGCTTGGTCAACGCTTGAGCGCCCCAATAATCTCATTGTGAATTGCAACCAATGTCCACGTGGCATGCATCATACATTTAACATCAATCGTGTTGCAATCAATATAATTACAGTTTTATGTTGTACACAGTTTCGTGTACCCGACTGGAAGTTACCCTTTGGTATACTATTGTCGCGGAAGAAGAAAAGCACATATAGAGCGCTCCAAGAAAAAGTGCCTGAATAGGATATACTCTAAGTCCAGGTCCAAGCGGCCGATACAAGCATTGGAGTTTCCCTCATTCTAGCTACGGTGTCCGATCTTTATGAAATGTTCAGGTGCAAGATATGACATTCAAATATTTTTTTCGAAAGTCTTCACACCAAATTTTTGAATACGACACTGCCCACTATAGCTATATGTATATCCAACGGTCGTAATTGTATGGTGAAAATTAAATTTAACGCTAACAGCTTACCGACCAATAAATTACTGCATAATTAATGGAAAGCAATTGAAACATTAAATGCAATAACAACAAAGCCAGCAGCAGGCAACAAGCAAGAGCCAGCAAACATATATTGTGAGCTACATATTGAATTCAATATTCATCTAAATGCAAATTATCTAACCGAGCGACATATTTATTTTGGAATAAATTGTTTCATTTTGTTTGTTATATATATTATTAGAAATAATATCAATTTTTGTAACTACTTATATATGTTGCAGGAGTGGAATGACTACAAATTAAAATGGAATCCTGACGATTACGGCGGAGTGGATACCCTGCATGTGCCCTCCGAGCACATATGGCTGCCGGATATTGTGCTATACAACAAGTAAGTGCGCAGCTAATTTTCATATGCCCCTTGACCGCATTCGTTCTGGTTTGAACTGTGGGCTTGGGCATTTTGGCGCCTGGAACCATTTGCATAATTGCCCAATGGGCGCGACGGGCGCATAAATCAAAGCGCACAGTTACGCTTGCAATTTATCAGCCGATGATTAACGTATTTTTATTTCAATGTGTAACATGAGTGCTGGTCGAGGGTTCGCTGAAGCTTGGAGCTAAGGAAGGGAGGGAGCAGTCCTTTATGCTCAGCTAAAATGGCTGCCAACTCGTCTGCTTTCTCAAATTGGACGTTTTATTTTGCTACGCTCGCTGTAATTATTATAATTTGCCTTGTGTTGTATTTCACTTGGAGTAAAGCCAGGGCAAGCATACGGCACAGTGGTAAAAGCTATGGGAAAGGATCCCATTCCAAATACATTTTCATTCAGCTCTCTTTCCTCCCTCAGCCAGCTCCCAAGCTCTAAGATCTCCAGCTTTTAATTTATGCAATTAAAATAAAAAGCTAGCACTGACCACATTATAGGAACATCCAACCTATACAATATATTTTCCTATTAAATATTTAAATATGCAAAAGTACATTGGCAAAATACTTGCAATTGAGTTTAGATTTTTCTCTTGAATTCCCGCATAATTTCCACTGTTCCACATGCCTTGCCGTCCAACACTTGACTCTGTCGATGTGGCTGGCACTTTAGTTGTGCCTACAACACCAGGGAGGACATCGCTCTTTTGGCAGATCGGCTTACGCGCTTTATGTGCCGTATTGGCTTTCTTTTTTTCTGGATTTTTACGCTGGGCTTGGCTTGGCTGCTGGGTGCCTTTACTGCTTTGCTGCCTTGGCAATACCAACTATTCGCATAGCATACTTTTTGGGGTGTGTGTTTTGGCAGAGTCATAAAAACTCGTAATTTATGGCTTGGAAAAAGCTTAAATTTCATTTGCCAACAACGACAAAAGCATTGTCATGTTGTTGTGCGTAACTATACCAAGTTCATGGTACTTACACTAATACACACACACGCACTGCGTTTTATGTGGCCACCATTGTCGTTTGTTGAGACGGCCGCCGCCAATGTGGACAATTTTTAAAGTGATAAAAATAATTTGTGCTGGCTATAATGAAGCGACGCTTCTGTAAGAAGGCCTTTCCCCTTACAGCCACTACCAGATGGAGCTTCGAGTTGAAGTAGCCTCTGTCCGCTTTAAACACTTGTAGTTGATTGTGTTTGATAGAAATAAATTGTCTCTGTAAAGTTCACATAACTTGATGCCAACATAAGACTATAAGAGATGACACAGAAATTTCCTGTCACCTTTTATTTAGTCATATAAAATGCAAGCTTAGTTTCTTGGAAAGAATATTCTATTGGACTGCCACCTAATGGCATATTTAATCAAGTTTTTAAATATCTATAAAGCAGATATTTCAATTTATTTTGAAACGGTTTTCTAATAAATATATTTCGCAGATTAAATTCATAGGAGTGTATCGATTTAATAAAAACAATTTCAAATTAAGGCTGAATAGCGGATAGTAAACAACGAATATCACTGAGAGCAGTATGCTTGTTCATAAAAGTGCCGAAGTTGTTGTAATCATGAATGCAGGCACGTTCCCCCATGTGGCTGGATGAAAAAGTTTGCAGCGCAGAAAATGCGTTTAGTTTCACAATTGCGGCGAAACTGACAATATTTTATGCAGCAACTTTTTGCTCGCCAAGACAAACGCACAGCGGCATACAATTCATACGCACATTCAGACACACACACTGATACACTCAGAATAGGAATGCTAGCGCAGCCGACGAAATTGCGCCCATTTACATGCAATGAAAAATGTTTAATTGCCTGCTAAATGTGGAATAGCCAACAAATAGTTGAACGAGCCTTTTATAGACGCGTAACAAAACAACAACATGGCCTACGGGTACAAATACCTGCCAGCGTGTGTGCCACACTTAACCACGCTTACACACACGGACACACGTTTGCAGACGCGTACACACGCGCAGCCGCCATGTTGGCCTATTAAATAATGTTCGCCATGTTGTTGTACGGCCTTTGAAACAAGCTTCAAAAGTTGTAATTTATTGGACGTGGCCGTGCGCTTGTTGTACTAATTGTTAGCGGGTCACTTCAAAACGCGAACGGTATTCGCTTTCGGCACGTTTGTAAATTTTAAATTGCAATTTCGATTCAAAAAGAGATAGATTGCTCTATATATGCAATGGGTACTCTGCTGACCAGGCATAATTAGACTTGTGTGCTTTAGCCGGCTCATTAAATAAGCATCGAATACGAGAAAGCGTCAACAGCCGTCGTTTCGGAGTGCATGTGTATGTGTTTGTTCGCATTTAGGCAAAGCAAGCTTTAAGAACCAAATTGGGGAGGCTACCAAATACCGACAACAAGAGAAAGGCGACGGCGCCAGCGATGACGACGGCAACGACGAATCTGTTTATATTTGTAAAAGCCGCTTAATTCCAGCAGTTAATTTTCATTTTGGTCCTAGAAGTTTGAATCGCATGCGAGCTGTTAGCTGAGGTCTATCTCTTCTCGTTGGATTTTGGTTTTAAGTTGTGGTCTACAATTAATTGCAATTGAGTCTTTTACTCTGGGGTTGCCCGCCGACTTGTAATATTTGTAAGTTTTCCTTGGCACTAACACTTACTAAAATCAAATAAGTAAGAGCTCTATTCTTCACTCAACTAGGAATTTTATGCCCAGTTGACATTTTGACACGTTAATCCGAAAATTAAGCTCTTAAAGCTGTTGAAGCTCTTAAGCAACTATTACCAAAAAAAACATTATTGCGATTACTTATGTTTTATTTTGCATTAATTTTACAACTGTGGAAAGAAGATTTTTACTTTGGAACTCTATATAAATTTACAAATGTTCATAAGTAATAGGTATCCAGAGTAAAGTAAGGAGTAACTGAGGTAAAGAAATATAGGAAGAGTCAAGGTTAAAAAGACATAGAACGAATAAGTTTATTTTTCAAATATATAATTTGTTGACAATAATTTCGAATACAAAAACATAGAGATAGATTCAAATTAAAATCAGCGACAACAAATACTATTAAAAGTCTTAAGCTCTTAATCTCCATAAAATCATATTTTCACTTAATATTACTATCTTATGGCTAAAATCAGCCTTCTTTCAAGGCTCCAAAAAGGCAGTTTAAGTATCAGCTGCTACCGTATAGCTGCATTTGCTATGCAATTAATTTATATATAATAGCTTCTAACATAATTTGGAAGGGCTTCCACATGTTTATCTATGTGTTGTAAGTATGTAGTATGTGGTTGTTATAACTTTAGTACAAAAGTTGCGCAATTGGAACGTAATGGTTTCTGCTGGATCAACTCAAAGTGTAGAACTAATTAAAAATACATTTTAGCTTCTAATTACAAATTTATTTTAAATGCGAAAATTGCTTCCTATGTAGGTTTTAGCAGTACACGCCCATAGCCACTGGCTGAGCCACCGTCACGCGGCAACGCCTGCGCCGTCCATTAGCAATGAGGTCTTCAGGCGTTGGTCGAGGCAGGGCATAGACTGAGCCGCTGCTATAGCCACCGGCAGACATACTCGTGCACTAAAAACAAATCCAAAAGCAAAGCATTTTAAAATGTTATTACAACAACAACATCAGCAGCAGCATCTACAACGATTATGGCGAGCAGCGAGCCAGCCATTAATGGCTAAAAACCATTTAAAATGGCCGATGGCGCTGCAAAAAGCACAGCGCAAAGGCAGCGCGGAAAGAACAAAAAAAAAAAAAAGAGCCAAAAAAAATGAACGAGAACAAAAGTTTATAACCAAACCAAAAAACCAAAACCACGCCTGGGGGTCACCACAATTGCAGCCATTATCTTCACGGTGATGTGGTGGCACGCGGTGACATACACACACACACAAACACACATACACACGCAGGAACACACACAGACACACGAACTCACTGGACAACGCGGCGTATGAGTATCGCCAGCCAGCTACGGCCAACAGCGCGCGTTAATCTGAACGTCACACTGAGCACCATCTTTGTATCTGTTCGGGCCGAAATCGAAACCAAAACCGAGAAAACAGGCAATCTGCAGGCGCTTTTTTCGCTGACTTTGTATTCGCGTTTTTTCAGCGCCATTTTTATTTTTATAAATCTAATGAAAGATAATAAGATTTTATTTCGCTTCTTTTGATGCTGCAAACTAAAACAGTTGAAATAGAATCATAGATGGAAGTGTGTAGGTCATGCATTCATTTGCGGAGTTGCCGACCGCCTGCGTGATTCGAAATAATAGAAATAAAGTGGCTGCGGCTGTGTTGATAGTACTGCGGGGCGTGGCTATCTGCTTTGGGTTTCACAAAGTTCAGCTGATAATAAAGTTGTCAACAGCATTCATTTAATTAAAGAAAACAAAGCCAAAGCTATCGCACTTTGGGAATAGGAATACTCCAGCGTATGTACCACGATGACAGTCGAGCACTGGGAGAAAGACTAATAGAAAGATAAAAAGAGGACAGCGTATGTGTCTGTGGGGGGTGTCGAACAGGCAAACCGAGCCTGTGTCTACCGCAATATTATACTAAAGCTCAGATTTATGACATTAAGTTAATATGGCTGCCGAAAATGGTAATGTGGCTTGGCGTAAATGTCTATTATACGTATCTATATGTGTGTCTGTATGTGTGTGTGCAGTTGGTGGTTTTTGAGCTCTTTGTCAGAATGTTTTAAGTTGAAAAAAAGCTATGTAAGACAGGTAAGAAATCCGAATTAATAGAAATTTCAGGGACTTATCTAAATGGGATGATGGTTAACTACATTTTGCAAAATCGAAGCCAGAATATTATAACCCCAACATACTTAGCTAAAATGTTTTTCTTAAATAATTTTAAACCCTTAAAAATAAACCTATATAAACTCTTACAGCATTTTAATCTCTAAAATTGCAAATACGATTCGCATCTCTTAATTATATTGAATGCCAGACAGTTTCCTTTAACTTTTTGAATAGGAACCTCTTTAAGCTTCGTTCCTAATACAACTGATAAGCTTCTAGGTCTCTAGGTTTCATACAAACATATTCTGCCAATTTACCACTGTTGCAAAAGGAATTTCCCAAATCACTGGAACAGGTGTTCATTAATTTTTTATCTAGACCTACTAACTAAGTTTGAAGCTAATCGGACAAAACTTAAACCTTAGCGCAAAACATCTTTGAATCGCGATTTCCTCTGAGAAAGCTTTCTCATACAAAAGTTTTTTCGCGACTTTTCCACACTTACTGGTGGTATTTCCCGAAAACCATCGCAACGTGCACCTTCATAACATAAGGTAGGCTGCATGAGGCTTATGTGTGTGTTGGCGATTATTCAGATACGCAAGATTATTTTCTTTCATTTATTAACAAGAAAGCTAGTAACTATATTACTAAAAGCATGGTTAGCTAGAAGTCTTACTAAAATGTTTTAGGAAAACATTTATCTTAATTCACAGCGCATTGGCGGCAATTAATAGATGAAGTCAACTTTGTCAACTTTTTGCTACACGAAAACATGAACCCGACCTTGCGGGGTCCACAATTTCTGTTTTGTAATTTGAGCATTATTTAACATGCATTGAATTATTTTTTGTTTCTTGTATTTTTAAAAAGGAAACCGCATTTAAGCAAAAGAAAAAATAGCTTCATGGCAAGAATATAAAATAAAATAATCGATTTAAAAAATACATTAAAGTGATTTAGTGCAAATTAGCTTTTCTCCTGCTTATTCACCTCTCTGTTTATTTCTTAATTTGCAGCGCCGATGGTAACTATGAAGTGACAATAATGACAAAAGCAATTCTACATCACACCGGCAAAGTGGTTTGGAAGCCTCCTGCCATTTATAAATCCTTTTGTGAAATTGATGTCGAATACTTTCCGTTTGACGAGCAAACATGTTTCATGAAGTTCGGCTCGTGGACATACGATGGTTACATGGTAAGTGAAAGTACTTAAAAGCGTATAGATGTATATTCTTATGCTCGTGCTCCAAGGAGCGGGCTGTCAATCAACGGAACTGAAACAGCTCAGATGTAAGCCATCCATCAATGCCGTAAACAGCTCGGTGTGCTTAGCTCTATTGTCGTATCTGATTGACTGTCTGCTAATCAAACGCTAATCAAACTCTTAAGTCGATTATAAAAGCATTAAACCGCGAAGTTCAATGGCAAGCGGACGGATTGCTGTATGGGCGTGGCACATGGAAGCAGTTATATATGTAGAAGTGTGTGCGTGAAAAAACGACTTTTTAAACATGCGACTGCGACGACCTTGAAAAGTGCCTAAACAAAAGGACTCACTCACTGACAATTGATTATTCGCTTCGTTTTTTATTGCCCGCTGCGGGTTCATGGCATACTCGGTTGTTATATGCGCTTCCCGAAAAGGGCGTGGCCCACTTTGGGGCTGCCTTCGTGTAGCTGTTATATATTTATTTATTTCAATACTGTTGTTAATGTTTACTGTGTTTTTGTACACTTGACACGTTTCGTTCGCTCGCTCTTTTGTTGGCATGTGATAAATCACGAGGCACTCTTGCACACACACTACACACTCACGGCTATAACAGCTGCATGTGTGTGCGTGAGCGTGCTCGTGTGCGTGTGCGTGTGCGTGTGCGTGGAGGAGATAACAGGCAGCAGCTGCGCTTAATGAACCAGCCACGACTGTGAAAAGTTTTTGGGACTCGTTTGTCAAAGGAGCAGCAGCTACAACAAAATCGAAAATGACATATAGAAGCAAGCTAGAAACCTTAAATTTCCCAAAACGAAGAAATAATACACTCACAAGACGGTCAAATGCTGCTTCAGTTTTTTGGTAAAGTGTGTAAAGAACTGTAAGGCTTGGATGAACTGAATACCAAACTACAATTTCTACAGCCATATAAGCTTAATTTCATGGCAATATAACTAAAGAAAGAGATATGAAAACAGAATTTATGCCATTAGGGTATGTTTATGTATGTTTGTCGCAATATGAATCATACTTATAAGCAACAAATTTGGTAACAAAGTAAGAATACTCTCCCTATTGCGCATTTTTAGGGAGAAGCATACAAATTTAACAAAACATCAAACAAAGAAATTTGATAAAGGGGTGCAACTTTTGCGGTAGTACAAATCTTAGAAATATTTTTAGATATTCCCATCGGTCCCTAAAATGTTAACTGCAGCAACTTATTTAGTCATAATCGATGCTCACATGATTTAGCGAAATCTTAAAGCACGAATTATATACAATAAAAAATGAATTTTGTTGCTTCTCAATATCGTTTCATAGGCTACATAGTTACGTATCTAATGGTAGAGAATCGTCTAAATAAGACGAAATTACGAATTGAAAACTTCAACATGATTCAGTGATTTTAACTTCATAAATACACACACACCTCCAAATACATGTATCCAACATATATATATATATATTGATTCGTTTGATTTCCTCGCTTATTAAGAATTCTGTTAGTGCCGACGTAAACATATTACGAGGCATTAATGACATTACTGTAATGGCTAGCAAATAATTGAAAATTGTGTTCGTGTGCCTTTTTAAAACAAACAAACAAACTGTTGTTATTGAATTAAATGCATAAAATATGTAAAATCTGAAAATGAGAGCTCCTACCAATAAATTAAAATCGAATCATATGATTTTCATTAGTCAATCGAAGCGATGATGTACTGTAGATTGCCGATAATATATCATTAGCCCCAAGTTACCTACACATATATAAATACATATATATATTATGAACTCGCAGCTATCGAGAAAGAAATATCGCTGCAAAAGAAGCTTAAATGAATGACACCAATAACAACATCGCTAACAAGAACAGTAACAAATGAACTGAAATAAATGATTAAACGTAAATGTTTTTTACGTTCTGAGCTGAACGTGAGCGAAGGCGAAAACAGCAGCTGCCTACTCAATTTTCTCACGGAGTACACGAGGCAATCGCAATTCGTTGCGCAATTGACGATTGTCAAAAATTTGTCAAAAGTACGAAAACGTTTTGCCATCATCAGCATCCACACTCACATTCACATCGACATCTGATGAAAATCAGCAACACCTTAGAGTTACCCCTCCATGTCACTTGGTTGTAATGTTGAGTGCCGTTGTTGTTGATGTTGATTCCGCATCGCTTGAAGAAAAATGGGCAAACAAATCAATGTTAATGGCAAAACAATCGCACAGGTGTTGCACATTCAAGCATTTGATGCATAAATCAAAAAAAGCTGAAAATAAATACCATGGGAGTAGACTGTGAAAAGCATTTGAACGCGCTCAAATCTGTTTCTGCATATAGTATCGTAAATTCCTATCATATAATAAGAAGTGTTAAATTCCCAAATAATTCGAATTCAAATTTGGTTGTATTCACGTAAATATGTTGTTTGATTCAAGTATAAAAGCCCATTCCATTAATTGAGGCCTAGATTTGGATACATACTGAAGCTTTTCTAACATTTTAAACAACAATATTTTATTCTGTTCACGTTTAGGATCGTCTCTTCTTTGTAGGAATCGCAGCCCTATCTAATCCATACAATTTACAAATTTCGTCAAGTTTGATCTGATTTATCGAATTAAAACATTGTTAATACTTTCGCCCGACATAACTTAATCTGCCGCTCTCACACCTGTAACACTGATTAGATTGTTGCCGTGCAGATGTCGATGAATGCCTCTTCGATGGAGTACGCGCTGGAACCGACTCATCTTCGTAGGCAATATGGGCAGGTATTCCGCTCGGCACTCTAAGTTGGGTGCACAGGCATTCAAATAAACACAGTACTAAGTGCCAGATCTGCATGATCAGCAATGAGGAGACAAGCAATAAATAGTTAGCTCAACAATGCGGTGCTTTATTAGCAATATTTCCACGTGGACACTGTATTTAAATATTTTTCCGTAGTCTTATTGTGGCTCGGGAAGTTAATTTTTTAGCACGGACTAGAACATGGTTAGCTATTGAAGCAATTAAGCCGGAGGTACGTGGCAGTTTGCATTTCTTATTGGATCGAATATATGAGGCCACTGATGCATATTAATATATTCTTGAATGCTAGTGGGCTACCGCAAGAGTAAATACAATATAACATAACCCTTTATGTTCGCTTTATCGGGGTCTTTTCTGACAAGTGGCAAGCGCATCTACACACTACAAGTATTCAAATTAAATTTTTACTTTATCCTTAGGTTGACTTGCGACATTTAAAGCAAACGGCCGACTCGGACAACATTGAGGTGGGCATCGATCTGCAGGATTACTATATCTCTGTGGAATGGGATATCATGCGTGTGCCGGCGGTGCGTAACGAAAAGTTCTACAGCTGCTGCGAGGAGCCCTACCTGGACATTGTGTTCAACTTGACGCTGAGGCGGAAGACGCTCTTCTATACAGTCAATCTGATCATACCCTGTGTGGGCATATCGTTTCTGTCCGTGCTGGTGTTCTATCTGCCTAGCGATTCGGGCGAGAAGATCTCACTTTGTATCAGCATTCTGCTCTCGTTGACTGTGTTTTTTCTGCTGCTGGCAGAGATTATACCGCCGACATCTCTGACGGTGCCGCTGCTGGGCAAATATCTGCTCTTCACCATGATGCTGGTCACGCTCTCTGTCGTGGTAACAATTGCGGTGCTAAACGTAAACTTTAGGTGCGTATTCAAACAAAATTATAGTTTAAGAGGAACGCATATAATTGATTTATGCACTTTATAGATCGCCAGTGACGCATCGCATGGCACCTTGGGTGCAGCGCGTCTTTATACGAATCCTGCCGAAACTACTCTGCATTGAGCGGCCCAAAAAGGAGGACCCCGAAGATGATCAGCCGCACGAGGTGCTCACAGATGTCTATCATTTGCCGCCGGACGTGGACAAGTTTGTTAACTATGACACAAAGCGTTTCAGCGGTGACTATGGCATACCAGGTAAATCCCAGTACTGATTTAAAAAAAAGTATTCCAATAGTTTTATTTCGGTCCATGCAGGACAATTGTAAGCTTCTTTGCCAGAGTCAACAGAAGGCTGCAGAAAACCAGCCAAGTTTCTATATTTACCTCAGCCTAAGGCAAACTTTTTGTTGTTCAAAAGTTTGGCATTGTTGCAGTTGTAGTTACAGCCAGCTAGCTTCTAGATTCTAGGTGCTGCTTTTGTTACCGCCTGGCAATTTATGCGTGTTTTCAACTGGCTTTAGCAGGCGCCTTAGGCTGGTAACAGAGCGTTCATATACTCGAACTAAACTGCCAGCCAGCCATACCTCCAACTAGCCAAGCTTATATTTCGTTTAAATATGCGCAAGTACATTGAAATTATATGCATTTCAAAAGTTTCCCGCTGTTGCCAGAAGCACTGAGCGCAAATAATTTATGGCAATTAACGGGCAACTGCACTGGCAAGGGGCATGCAGCAGCCACATACATACATATACAGACAACAGAAACAAACACTAACAGCAATACGAGACAAACTAACTGGCAGACAAGTAGACAAGTTGCATAAGTTGCAAGTGAAAAGTTGCTGCAACTCGGCAAAGAATTATTCGCTTTCTAAATTAGTTTTGTATCGTTTTGTCAGTGTCGTCACGCCATTTGCCATACTCATTAAAAAATTGTGGCAAGAAAGTAAGTGAGAAAAAAAATAGTCACAAAGAAAACTACTTTTTATTCGCAAAACTGAGAAGCACTTCAAGAGCTTCGAATAGAACTAAGAAATGTATATACTTTTGATGAAATCTGGAGAGGTATTAAAGATGCTCACCTTTATTTATTTTAGTCAAAATGTTAGACAAAAATTGGCATTTCAACTCAGATCGACAGATTATAAAAATAAAAAATCTAACATTGAAATATTAAAATAATATAGATATATTTTCAACCTGCATATTTCCTAGATTTTAGTATAATAATAGGATTATGTTTGCAGATTTTCCAAAATAATACCATACAAATATTAAAGCTATAAAACAGTTACTATCGATTAAAAAATATGATCTGTGACTGAGAGTAATATATTACAAATTAGAGCAAGTCAACATTAGTTTCACTTTGATATCTAATTTCATACATTCATATATCGAAAGTCTTTGAAAAAAGGTTCACTGAAAAAAAAATTGTTTTCAACTTTACATACTTAGTAATAAGTACGTATAATTATCCAGACAAAATAAAAAAAAGATATACTTAAAGTCATTTGAAGATGCGTATCATTTAATCTTGTGGAGCCAGTAGAAGTGAACATTTCTTGTTTTCGTTTATCTGTAAACCCCATCAATTAGCTATTTTTTTGCACCACTTCATTAGCAGTTTCCACTTAATATTAAGCATTCAACACATAAAACCACTCAAGAGGCAGACGACATGGAAGTGCAGTCACCCACGAAACGCGAAAACCCACAAAGATGGCTTGGGCTTTCGCCAGTTGGTGACTACTTTTTGCTATCCGAAAGTCCAGCCGGCTTTCAATTAACGGTTTCCCTTACTTCTTTTGGCTCTTTTCTTTTACATTTTGCCTTTTTTATGGGTGCGAAACAGAGATATTGAAACTTTAAAAACGGGATCTCAAATAAGTGCAAAATAAGTAGAATGCAGCCAACTATTTACTGAGTTTCTTTATCGTTTCTGTAGCTGCTGCTGCCGCTACTCTGCCGCCTTTGTCCTGTACTGTGCTCAGGGACATTGTGAAAATAAAATTGCACCCATACAAAGCGGAGCACAGAAAAGTTGTAAATTGCATTTGCGCATAAAAAGAAAAGGAAGAAAAATAAAATGAGAAATATAAAAATGAAAGAATTGCGAAATAGCATCAAATCTGATTTACCTAATGTCGTTACTGCTTTCTGTCCATATTAACCCTAGATGGTTGGATGTTCCTATTTTATGTACACTTAGATTGTTCCTTGCTTTCTTAATATTTTATTTATTAAAATACTTAACAATTTTACATAATTTACAAATTTTTCATATTGTGGCTATTTTTCACATTGAAAATTAATAGCCATCGACTCGGGGGCTAAACAACTGCAGCGTGCAACAAGAGAGTTACACTTAGATATGCTTAAGAGCGTGAATAACAACAATAATACCTGAGCGCTGAACGCTCAAAGCAGATAAAAGCAGAGATTTAAAAAAGGTGGCGGGGTGAAAGGCAACAGATTACAAATGTACACGATAGCAGCCAAACAGATAAGCAAAAGCAAAGAGTTACAAAGAGTAGAAGAGTGGCTCATCTACAACACCAACTTAGCCAGATTGAGCGAATAGGACATATAAACTTAATTGTTTCATTTATTTATTATTAAACAGATTAATAGAGAGCAAGTAATTACTTCTTAAGCAATAGCAGCTTTGAATCAAATCAATAGCGCTTTCTCATCCTTCGCTTACATTCAACGTATCTGAAATTCTGCCCTATTTTTTCAGTGCTCCCCGCATCGCATCGGTTCGATTTGGCTGCGGCGGGCGGAATTGCCGCCCATTGTTTTGGTGACCCGCCGCTGCCCTCCTCACTGCCATTGCCTGGCGCTGACGACGATCTGTTCAGTCCATCGGGTCTCAATGGAGACATCAGTCCGGACTGCTGTCCAGCAGCCGCGGCAGCCGCAGCCGCTGCGGCTGATCTCAGTCCCACGTTTGAGAGGCCCTACGCACGAGAGATGGAAAAGACCATCGAAGGCTCGCGCTTCATAGCGCAGCATGTGAAAAACAAAGACAAGTTTGAAAGCGTAAGTAAACTGTTTAAATATGATTTATCTTTTAACCTGTATTCATTAAAAGTGGGTGACATGAATTTTCAAAATATACGCAAGTGCAAGTGTTGTTAGGGTATCTACTGGGTGGGCAAACTCGAAGACATATTTATGCGTTCGTAAGAAGCAGCACCAAAATTATTAAGCAAGAACATTAGAAGAGTATATTAAAGTCGAATATCGAGTCACACCTTCAAACAATATTTTATTTTCAAATCAATAAAGCAAATTGATGGTTATTCGTTAAAAAGTTTTCACTCGAAACGTAAAATAAACACGGAAAACGTCATTACGTCACAGGGCAAAATGTTGCCATGCAAAATTATTCAATTTTAGCCACACACCAATGACAAACATTATGTGCCCGCCATTTGGCCAGACCAGTATCAGGCCACAAACCATCCCAGTCCTCGTGCCCATGCCCGACCAGGGACGCGACATGTTAACGCCTGCTCCTGATAACCCGCATTAGTCAGCGAGCCATGCAACCGTTCGAATCACGTTGCTTGCATTTCTCTAATCAAAAATTGTGAAGGGGAGAAAAGTCGGGCTGGAGAGGCGTCGTATCGTCGCGTTAAGCTGAATTCGAGCTGAGTGATTGAGTTGTTTGTGCAATCGGAAAGCGCAATTCGGGATTCAGAGTGCAAGTTTGCCAATCATTGTGGCCACAGCCAGGCAATGCCCCGAATCAGCTCTTGTTTGGTTTCAACTTTTGCAGCAAAATTCGAACCAATAACGAAATTGAAATAGATTGGGTAATGTATTTGTGGAGCGCTTTTAAAAACAGATGGAGGCAACCTTATCGGCTTTAAAACACCATATAATTTTAATTAAATATAAATGCAGCCCCGTATGATGACTGACAAATACAATATTTTCCGGGCTTCATAAACAAACAAAGAAAATTTCGAACATTTACAACACTGCAAATTCCGGCTTTTTGAAAAAAAAGAGGTATCTTAGTATAATGGCCATTAAATAAAATACATGTTCCATGCAATAGTCTATTTGTATCATTGGTGCAAAACCAGACAACATAACCGGCCATTCGGTTCACAGTTCGAACACTGTCACAAGGTTCGGCTCGTCAACCTAGTTTTAAACATTCGTAAGCTCTACATTTTGTTTAAAACTTGGTTTATTTGGGCTCGGCTGTATTTTTAAGAAACTAGTTTACAGTCGGGGTGCAGTCTTCGGAGGCGCCTCTTACTGATGTGGTCGGCCAGGACCCTGCCCACGTTCCTGTGCTGCATTAGCTTGTCGGCGTATCGGCTGCTGAAAAAGTTTAACTGATCTCCGACCGTTGTTAGGCGGAGATCGCGTTCGATGTGGCGAAGCTGGTGTGCTGTCGCCATGCCCCTAACTTTGATGGCCTATGTTTGGATGGGCGTTATCATCATTTTAATAAGCAGCGTTGTTGTGGAAATGTGAAGCTTGCATTGCGGTTTAAGGAGCCAGTCGGGTTTTCGCAGCTTCTTAGGCGTTTTGCTATTGTTGCTGTGATGTGGGATACCCATATGAGCCTTCGGTCCAAGTAGACGCCCTAGTAGCAAAATGAGCTGGTGTGCTCAATGGTTCTGGGCGCAGCGTGAATGTGACGCAAACGGACTTGGCACAGTTTATGGCAATGTTCCAATTAGCTGTCCATGTTTCGACTTACAGCAGCCAGTGTTGCACTGCCTTTGATGCAGCTTGCAAGTAGTCGTGGAAGCTGCCTTGTGACACCCGAGCTTCGGTTTTTGATGCCCACGTTGAAGTTGTGTCCTGCCAGGAATAAGCTCATCGAGATGCTGTAATATGGCGCAAGGAGCAGGGTTTTGATTTTATAGAGAAGGTACTCCTTCTTTTGAATTCCTTCTTTTTGAATGCCTCCATTACATGGTTGAATACTTGGTGGCCATGCCCAGGCAGCCATGAGACTTCCCCAAGCCAAACTGATGGCACGGGACCAAGCGTGTGACCTCGTCGAGTTCCATAAGTCGTATTAGTAGGAGTCGCTCAAAGACTTTGGAAAGCTATGTGAGCAAGCTTATAGGAGAGTAAGATTCCAGCAGAAATGTCTTCGGATTCGACCTCGTAGTGAATGTTGGTGTCCGTGCCTAGGATGTCTAGTGATATCTTGTACCGTAATTCTGAGCACCTTGGAGAAGTTTACATTAGGGTTCGGTTCATAATAAAATTTAAATTAAAATATTTTACTTCTATATCGACATATTTATAAGTATTTACATTATCCTTACTATATTTTTTCTCACTTACTACAACTTGCATTATTTTTCACAGGTTGAGGAGGATTGGAAATACGTAGCTATGGTATTGGATCGTATGTTTCTTTGGATTTTCGCAATCGCTTGCGTGGTCGGAACAGCGCTTATTATATTGCAAGCGCCTAGTTTGTACGATCAATCGCAGCCGATTGATATATTATATTCGAAAATTGCTAAAAAGAAATTCGAGCTGCTCAAAATGGGTAGTGAAAACTCCTTATAACGTCCACTTGGGTTCGCAGCAGGCTGGTGGAATTTAATCATCAGCTCGTTGCGAACCCTGTTCGCCGCACGCGACGATGATCGTGGATAATATACAACGAGCCAAACCATGAGCGTCTCATCGGCGTTATACAACACTAAGAGTATCAGCACCAGTATCAATATCAGCGTTGACAGTGTTAATCCCATAATCGATATAGATAGAAATCGCGAAACGATGACCAACTCATGGAGCCCATTGTAAGCAGCGGAGCGAAGCGAACATTGGAAATTGTGAAAGAAGAAAGAAACAAACAACGGTTGCGAGTTTTGGAGCAGTTGATCAAAATATGTATGTAAAGTAATGCAACACAAGCACTGTAGAGTTGGATAACGCTACGACGAAAATAACTGGGTTGGAACAACAACTATAACATATATATTTATATGACACTGACACGACCAGTGCAACTCCGCCAACGGCATAGAATCTAGTTAGTAAGTTTTTGATGGATGCATGATGATTGTGTGAATAAACATACGTATATATTAACGTATGTGAGTGTTGGACGGTTGTGCAGTGATGCATGATATTGCAGCCAGTGTTGTAAAAAAAAATAAACTTTTTGTAATTTGTATTGTATTTTTGAGCGCCAAAAGTTCCTTGTTGATTTTTAGTTCTAAAGAAGTTTCAAAAAATAGAACAACAACAAAAACGCATAACAAAATGTTTTAAAACGGCATTTTAAATTTAAAACGAAAATCCAAATAAAAAATAAACAAAAAAAATTGACTGCATGTGTTCAGTGTGTTTGTGTGCGTGCGTTTGACAGAGATATCGTAATCAATTTTAATTATTTATCTATTTGTGCATATTTTTCGCATTATTTTTAGCAACACAAAGAAAAACAAAATTGCTCATGCAAATTATGCAAAATGCATCAAGTTTGAAACTGGTTTTAGAGTAAGTAACGCCTAACACATAAGTAACTAAATTATATATATTGATCTAAGCATGATTAACAACTAAGTCTTAATTAGTCTTAGGTAAGCCACATACATTTTAAGACAACATAAAATTAATGTTACAAAACAAGCCTAAGTGTCAGCCACGACAGGCGACTTGGTCAAATGAAGCGCGAAATTCTGAAATAAATTTAGTTTAATGTTGACAAACACAAACATCAAATTTTAAACTCACACATTTTTACTACAAGAAATACACACTCATATAACCATATGTATGATAATTGTAAGTGTGTCTAACAAGCATATGTATGGAACATATATATACTAATACATAGTTTACAATTACACAAAATTTAAGACAATTCAAATTCAATAACTAAAAAATAAACTGCAAAAAATGGAAAGCATGAAAAATACAAAACAAAAAAAAAAAAAAAAACAATCAAATCAAGAAGGAAGAAAACACATTGAACAAAATATACGACACTTTGTTAGAGTATTTTGTGCTATTCGTTTACCTTACTTTTTAACATTTAAATTGCACTGAGTATCGAAAATTTGAATAAACAATTAAAGTGCAATTTCATAAATTTCGAGAGAAACGTTTTATTTTCAAAATACAAATTGCAATATTGCCAAAAAGATTTACTCCTTGATTAATATTTGATATGTTTTTATTTTAATATAATATTACTTAACATCAGCTAATGCTTTGAAAATCAGAGGCATAATTGTAGCAATTTCGCTGCTTCAAATATTCAAATTTTAAGCAGACGGAAATTCTTAGATCACAGATCTGTTGCAACGTCTTACAGGCTGTGTGTGCCTTATGCGTTTCTCAGATTTTGCTTTGCCTTTTGAATACAATCAGAATCAATTAAAAAACTTTTTAATTGCCTGCAGCAGGAGGCAGAGGTCCAGAGCTGGGCATTGCCATAGCCTTGGCTGAGTGCAACACACAGAAACACCTTCAATTTAAATGCCAGAGCAAACGAACCTTGCCACAAGGTTTTTATTTGCATTTTTAATTGATTTCGGAAAAGTTTTCCCACAACACAAACAACAACTACAACAACAGCAACAAATATTAACAACGCGAATGCCACAGGGCGCTGGCACGCGCCGCAGGGTATGCAACAAATTAAGTGAGGAATGCAATTTTCATGAGTGTGTGCATCCGTGTGTATGTGCAAGACTGCCTGTGCTAAGTTAATAAAAAAACAGCGAAAAGTATACAAAATTTGCACAGCTTGGATGCAAATGGGTGAGGCAAAAACCATAAATGAAAACTGCTAAAACTATTAGCAAGGAATGCCGCGAAAACTCTGCTCAGGGTTGTCAAGCTGTTTTACTGCATATAAATGTTAAACTTGTTGTTGTTGTTGTTTTTGTTATTGTTGCTGTTGTTTTCGGCAGCAATACTGGCATCACTTGACATTGGTTTGGCGTTTTGCGTGCGTGTGCTGGCCCAAAAGTTTAATTAAAATTCCTAATCGAAAATATTCCACACTTGTGAATGTGTATTAATTAAAATAGTTTTCCAACCCAACAAATGGTGTCGCACTGGCAAAGACAGAGAATATACAAATACATTTAAATATATATATATATATATATATATTCGTAAATGTGTGAACCTGCATGAATGCTGTTCGAAATTCTGCACAACTATGCGTCATTGCAACTGTAATTGGCAATTTGTTAGAGAGCCAAATAAGAGGCTGTTTGCATGAGATATTTATGTGTCAAGAGACATTTACAGAATTGCTGCAATTTTCCAGACATAACAAGAAATCAGATACACTATTAACAACCGATCTCTTAGTTATACATTAAGAGCTTCATCTTGAATTTACTGTAGTTTCGATTCTTGGCCGTAAGATGATTATAGGCATGCATTTCCAATTCTCATTTATTAATGCAGTTAATCAGTAACTAGAATTTGAATAATTTTACATATTTGCCTGCAATTGTTTGTACAAACGTTTGTTGATGTGGATGCGAAATTGCGCTGTATGCACCTGCGAATATTACCCCAGCCGTTTTCAAATCATTTAGCTAAAAGGAAAATGCAAAAACGAATAGCGTAACACACACTGCAAACACAAAAAAGAAACAATTAAAAAACAATTTAAAAAAAAACACTAATCAGAAGTGAAACCTTTAAGTAAAAGCAGCGAGCACAGCTGAGACACGAACACGTAATTTAAAAATTTAAATAGCTGCACCATTTTGGTGTATTAAAATGTAAAGTGCATAAAAATCAACAGTTAACATTTTTTAAATATTTAGCTATTAACTAAACGTAAATAAATGTTATATAAAAAATATCATAAATCAATTTACTAATAAAAACAAATAAATCGCATAAGCATTTAAAGAAAACACATACACGTTCAACCACAGCAGACCCATAATAAAATATGATAGTTGTAAATTGAATAATTACATCAACTATTAAACGTATTCAACTGAGCTTATAAAATTAAAAACAAAAAGCATACACACACAGAAATATAACTAAATAAATAAATAAATTAATATTAAATGCCAGCAAAATGAGCAAAAAACTATTTGACAACTGTCTCGACTTCCGTTTTGAAAAGCATATAATTAAAAAGTCTGAAAAAAAATATTTATACACCCGCATTACAAATATATAGTATATATATATATATATATATATATATATATATATATATATAAAAATATATATATATATATATTTATATCTATATATATGTTATATATGTATATATATCTATATATACATACACATCTAAATACAAAATTATATATGCAAAAACCTGCACACGGTGGGTGTATTAACCTTAAAGCAGGACTTAATAAATAATCAGATAAATCAGAAAACTTTGAGCAACATAGAGATGATCTATCAGAAATGCGTTCTACTTAATCACAGTGAAAATCTATTGGCTAATATAAAAAAATAACAATTGCAATAATTTAATTATAATTTTGGCACAATGCCATTTGTAGCAAAATTAATTTTCACAAAGTTTCTAAAAATATTTGAAACACGTACTTATGTAAATAAAATGCAATTATTTGTTGTATTTTTTAGTTATACATTGAAAATTAATTGTATAAAGTTAATTCATACCAAAGTTTCAAAAACATAAACTTTCTTACGTCTACTTGTTTTGTTCCCTGTGTGCATTCCGAAATAAGGTTGGAATTTCCGGTATAAGTTAAAATCATTCCATGACGAACGTATGAAGTGTTGAACTATGCTTTATTCTCTAGTTGAATGGTGCAGTTTCTGTACTTAAATCCAGCACACATTCAGCTTCACTTAATTTCGAAGAATTTACAATTTTAAATAGCGCAAAGCAAGAAAATATGTAAGCTTAACAAATTTTTGTTATAGTTTTAGACAATCAACTAAAAAATATTAATTATGAATAGAGGCAACAGAAAAAAAACTAATGACAAGTAAATGGCGTAACATTTCTGTGAGTAAATCAAACTATATAACGTAAATGCGAATTTGGATAAAATAGAATCGCATATGAATTGAGTATCTCAAAAATTATTATTGGGCTTCAAACAGTTGTTAAAATAAAGAACGATTAAAAGTCAAGCAAAATAGAAATTTAAATTTCAAATACCATTTTTGTAAATTGTTTCACTTGGGAAAATCGACACGCTATTGCAAAACAAAAAAATTAATAGAGAAATTTTAAAATAAATAAATCTTAAAATAAAATAAATAATAATTCAACTCTAACAAAATGGTACCAACTATGCAAATTCGAAGGCAATTCGATAAGTCAAATACATGGACGTGTAAATGCTCTCATTGGTTGTGTTTTTAGGTTATAATCAAAGAGGCTTGTGCGTGTGCGTGCGTGTATGTGCGTGTGCGTGTGCGCGTGCACATTCAACACACACACAAGCAAACAATCGGTCATTCCACAGTCAGTCAGTCAGTCAGTTAGTCTATTAGTACAATTCGAATTCATAATTGTACAGTTCATTTGCACATTAAATAACATTTATGTATGTAATTAATTAATAATCATTAATGTTAATAATATTTAAAGTAAACACAACGTGTTTAACTGCAAATTATGCTAGTAATGTCAAACATTTTGAATTTGCCTTTCTAAAACGCGTTTAGTTGAATGTTCCAGGTTATAGCTAAATGTTTAGTGTGCTTCATGTGAAAACCAACAAAATAAAAAAAAAAATGCAAGAATACACTTTAAGGAAAATTAAAATTATAATAATAATGCTGCATAGTTGTGAGCACTGCAAGCAAAGAGGAAAAAACCGAAATTGGTAACAAAAAAACATGTAATTAAAAAACTGCCACAAGTAAGACAAAATAAAATATAACAAAAAAGTACATTAAATAATATTCATATATTTGCATACTTACATATACATTAAATATATATAGATATGTATATGTAGATTCAGAATGTGTGTATCTCAGATTCACACTCAAAAGAAAACGACTAGATAAGTAAGTTACTCGTACGATAAGTCAGACATTGCAAAACGGGGCTCGAAGTTAACATTGTGGTTTAAGTCGTCATAATTTAGGCAACCACTAGCTAAGTATAACATAATAATACTATATTCCTAGTAACATACTCATAAAGTGTATATATCAAAGATAGCCAATACTTACACCAACACCAATACACACAAACCGACATACATTCACAGAAACAACAAACTAGTTAAGCAAATGAGAGAAAAAAAATAGGCTCTGACACAAAATTAGATCCAAACCCCATATGATAACTTTTATAGTCAGACCAAAATAGCACGAAACACATTGAAAGCATTAATTAAAGCAGATAAAAGAGCAACTAGAATTTATTTCAGGTAAAATTATTTTGAGTAACAATTATCACAGCAGACAACGAAATCATGTACACAAGTGCTAGACAACACACCTACCATTTAGATGAAGCAGCTAAAGTGCCCTTTCCAACACTGAAACATTGCCGAACCTAAGGAGCTGACACATAGCATATAAATTGGTATTGGGAAGTATAACTGAGCTGATGGGGCAATCGTTCTTAGCATCAATATAATTGCTTGGTGGTTAATTATCATTCGGAAAGGGCGCTCACAACCACAAAGTGTTTCATTTTATGCAAATTTTGGAGCCACACTTAGCACTTACAATATTCATAATTAGTTAAACGTGAAATAGTTATTAACAAAATATATTAAACAAGTAAATTATCAAACCAAAAATAAGTATTTGATATATATATGCGGCTTGACCCTGAGATTCAAAAACATAAAATCGGATGTCTTCCAATCAAAGGTCGTCTTTTGTAGCAAACACAACAAGAATCAAAGTCTGCGTATTGCTCAACCAAATTATTGGAAGCGCACTGGCCAGTGGAGCTGATGAATGTAAAACCAAATATTTATTCAACTTATGCCACAACACACACACACACACATAGAAACACACACACACAAAAGCACTGCACGGCAACTCATCTCGCCAAGTCTTTATTGCATACTTTTAGGGCCGAGATCTCCTCCAATCGCTCTCTATTCATACAATCCCCACTATCTTCAAAACTTATTAAGTACCTGACAATAGAAATCACATGTTTCCACACTCTTTTGCTTGCTACCCCCCTCCTCCCTACTAACGTCATGTACATACAATTAATGATATTAACACACAGTAACTTTGCGTTGAGTTGCCAAAAACACATCAAATATATCAAAAAAAAAAAAAAAACTTTTAAAAGTGCAATGAATAAAAGGTTTCAATCACAGCAAGTAAAAAAAACAAATTTTCAGCACACATCTAAACACATGAAAAATCAGCAACGTTTCAACGCATTCCACTTAAACTCATTGTCGAACCTATCGGAAGCCACAAAACGCAGTTAACAAATTTTAACCATTTCATTTTGTTGACAATTTCAACCAACTATTGTATAATATTTCAAAAAATGTTATAGAGAACGAGACAGAGAGAGAAAGTAGTGATGTAGGTAAACTTAAGTGATAATTCATTCGCCTCTTGCAAATTTAGAAAGCCCATTTTCCAAAAAGCTTCAAAATATAATTTCAGTATCACTTTTATCAAACTTGTAGCTTATTATTGTTTAAAAAACAGTTAAGGAATTCAAATGCAAGTGCACATCTACACACACATCTACACCCGCACACACACACACACACACAACCGCTCGAATCCACACAACTTAAATTGTATTAAGTGCAGACGAGAACGTTTTGATCGCATCATTTTTAAAATAGCATAATAATTTGTATGTGTGCGTATATGTGTATGTATGTATGTGAATGAGGAAACGGTAATCAAATTTGTAAGCTACTTAGTTAATGAACATAGTTGTAATTTTTAAATCAGCCGTACATAAGTACTTGCATGATGCATATTTATATACGTATATATATGAATTATGGTATATGTATGTGTATGCATATGTGTGTATATTTTGTGTATTAACTGCTAGATGCCGTTAGTTTTAAGCGCTTATGTTGCATTCTTGTGTACATTTACAAACAGTTTTTCAATTTCTATCTTAATTCAATCAAAAAATAAAATTATAAATTTTAGCAACAAGATTTTTAACTTAAAAGCCCAACAAAATTACAAAAAAAAAAAACGCAAACTACAAGAAAATAAAATCTTGCTACTCACTGGGGAAAACAACACCACAAATTAAAGTTAAATATTAAATGCCATTGCGCATGCTACACTAAATAAAAATATTTGATCAATAAATATAAAAGGTACGAGAAGAAAAAAAAAACACAAATATTAAAAAAAAATAGCCGTAACTGACACCAACACGAAATGTCAAAACAAAACTAATTTTTAGTTAGGCGTTTTCAGTGCTGACTAAAAAAAGTTTTGCAAAACTTATACACGAATCAATTTTAACTGAATTGAGTATTTAGTTAAATCAAATACAAAATGTAAGTTTATAAGGCTATGAGTATAAGAAAAATTATGTAAAATATTTGCAATTAATAAACAAAAAGACAAACAAGTAATGTTTGGCTTAATCGTAGGCTAAACAAATAAAATTACACAGCAAATGAAGAATAACAACAAAGAAGCCCAAAATAAAAATGAACAAACAAATAAACAAATGTGTTTACTCATTAATATTCAAGGTAAATGCCAAACAAGAATTAAATTTTAAAACTTGCATTTACATTTCACATACAAAACATACATAAATATATATGTATATACATATATATTCATAATATACATACCAGCTCCTTTGAATAACAGCAACAAACAGCAAAAAGAACAAAAATATATGCTAACAAATACAAATACAACACACTGACAAAAATAAAATTGACACTCGGAGAGTCTCTAGCACACAAAATGTAACTTGAACAACAAAGTAACTTAACAACAACCACAACAAACTATATAAAATAACAAAAATAATAACTAAATGCTAGCGTGCAAAATGTATAACGTAAAATTTGCATTTGCGAACAAAATTAAAAACGAAAATTGCATTGAAGCTAAGATCTAAGATTCTCAGACAATGGCAAGCATAAAATTGAAGAAAATCTAAAGAGCAACAATTGCAAGTAAAAAGTATACAAAAATTAAAAACTAAAATAAATGCATAAAAACAAGAAAAACAATTACTATATAAATAAATGTTACGCGTTATTAAATAAAGAAGAATGAAAATAATTTGTTTTAAAAAATAAAAAAACAAAAAAAAAACATTTAATGTTTTTCTGTTTTTGAAAATGGTTTGCATGTTGTGCGGAATTAGAAAAATAATGTAAGCTATTTAACTTTTATTCACATAAAATTATATTTGGTAAACTGCGCAGGGGCTGCCACATATTTGCCCAGAGCCAGCGCCAACAGAGAAAACTGACAGCCCGGATACAGCTCGTGGCAGTCGCGCGACTGCCGCTTGGAGCGCCGATAAATGAGGTCATAGTGATGATGAGCCGGCGGCTCATGCTCCGTCACTGGCGATGAGGGCATGCTAAGCACGGTGCGCACCAACTCCTCCAACATGTTGCCTCGCTGGCCGGGAGCATGCATAAACTTGGCACTCTCGCAGAGCGCACGAGCCAAGCAGGCACGTCCATTGAAGCCCATGCTAGTAAAAAGGGTTCCATGGAATTGGGTTAGCTTGGGTTGCAACTATAATCGGGCATACTTACTGATCAAAGGAGGATTGTATCTCATCATAAAAGCTGCGTCGCGACCGGCGCTGCACCATTGGCTTGGTGAGATTCGCAAAGCCATGTGCATGCTGTTTAACCCAATTATGATTGGGCAGATTATAGGCCACGCCCCAGTTGACGGCCCAACTAAGATAGTCCACATCGGGATTACCAATCATACCGATGGTCATGCAAATTGCCGCCTAGCCAGGCGAAATTAGTTAGTTGCCATTGTAGCCACATTAACTGGCAGCACTCACACCGAAACCGACGATCCCTCCGGAAATGCCAAATAACGCTTTTGACGACTAAGTAGCTTCGGCACCGCCCTTGTGGCATTGGCATCCGTCCCAGTCCCATGCCCCAACTCCAGCATAGAGGCGTGCGTCATTGAGAACAAAACTATTGAATTTAGTACAATATGGATTAAGCGTATCATTTTGACAGCATCGCATTCGGACAGAGACTGGCCAGCCTCCTGGCTATTTAAATGCTGCTCACCTGATCCGCACTTAGCTGGCCCTGTATTTACCTCTTTAGTGGCCTATTAGCTCAACTGTTGTTGAGTGCGCTCATTAGCGACATGGTGCAAAATGCGACACAATGGCTAACAATTATTTGATTACTGTTATGCCTCCGACATGACCCAAATGTCCACAGCATCGGCATTTTCTACACGCATATTTGTATCTACATTAAACTTCGGCCTTTTACCATCAATGAAAGCCAAAAATAAACAGAAATTATAGTTCAAACTTTAAATATATGATATATATATATATAGATATATATATGTACATTTATATGTATAACTGACATATTTATTTATGTATACACACAATGTTTATTTTTTCTTGTGTTTACATGAATGTATGCCAATAAACATGTCAGTTTTGGGATATTTACTGAAATTCAATTGCACTTTTTGGCCTTACATATTATGAAATAAAATAAAATTTTTTTGTTGCCAATTTATAGACAGGCATTTTTTTGGCAAGCATTAAAAAATTTGTGTTTGCCGAGTGCTCTGCAAAAATCGAGGAGTAAACGTTTTTGTGCATTCGAGAACACATTTTGTTGACTGGTTCAATTATCGTGAAAATATAAAAACTTTGGCGGACAAGAATCGCTCATACCAAGCGCAAACTAAGATTATATTTCTTTTATGACTAACTAATTACTGCGCAGTTTTGCAAATTAGTAGACATTTTTTTAAAAGTACTTTACTATGCGATTCTCATAAGTTCAAGCTAAACATACTAGTTTTTATGTTCGCTCTTGTTAATATAGCTATGGTCGCAGTTTAATAAGCCTCATCTCTGCTTAAACTCTCCTACACTCTTGATCCCTTTCTCACTTTATTCCTCTCGCTCTATCTTTAGCTTCTTTAATCCGCTTTTTACTTATTTCATTCTTTTAATAATGTGTTTTTAATTGTTTGTTACCCTACTACAATAAAATAATTTTCAATTTCGGGTGAGCACATTATTGTGAATATATTTATATACTTATAAATAAAAATATATGTTAAATCGATTCAGACTTCAGCGCGGGCTATCTTCTAATTTTGTATATGCACACATTTAGCAACATCTTTCAGTCCCTATTTCAGTAAACATTTAGCTGTGTGTGAAATAGAAACAATCGTACAGGAGTATTATAAAGCATTATTTCATAGCAGGTCAACAAAAGTTCAGTACGCTTTAGGTCGCTTTATTAAATGTATTTGCAAATTTGCGCTGAAACTGTGCGCTGAAGTGTAGCAAAAAACTCTGGGGACAGTGTGCGCCATACCACTGTGCGCACTCATGCAGCGAATGTCCACTGGTAAAGGCCTTGCGATATATGGGCTTATGGGCAATCTCCGGATGCACGTAGCGCAGCAGAATGCGAAAGATATCGTGAAACAGCGATTGGCCGGGTGGTGCCAGCAGATGGCGGGACTCGCAAAGAGTCCGCATTATGCAGTAGCGCGGTTCATACTGATGTCTTCAAAGAGGGAGAGAAAGAAAAAGTGATATAGAGGCAAGGAGCAAGAGCGAGAGAGAGCAATAGAGAGAGAGAGAGATGAATAGAGAGATGGATAGAGAAGTACTTACATTGCAGACAGCATTCCTAGTAAATCGAACAGCATACCATGTGGACTCTGCCCGTCATTCAGGAGATTGGCTCCATTTCTTTGTAGCTCACGTCGCAGTCGGCGTGATACTGCTGTGGGACGGCAATAATAGTTGCCGTACGCATCTCTTACTAGCTTGGATGCCGGACAGCCGCTGTGTATCTGCTTCACATAGGACTTGCGGCGGCCCAGAACTGGTGCTACGTGCGGATACTCAAAGTAAAACGATTGTACGGGATCGGCAGGACTTAAAGGAACAATCACCGGTTGCTGTGAAAAGAGTAAGGGTGCTGGAGCTGGTACAACAGCAACTGGAGCTGGCACAACTGATGCTGGAGTTGGTGCAGGTGGTGGTGGTGGTGGTGGTGGTGGCGGCGGTGGAGGCTTGGGCTTGCGTCTGCGACGTGGCAACCAATCGTCCACCGATCCAGGCAACTCATAAATTGCCGTTGCCTCGGCAAGCAGTACCATGCCTCTGGGTATGGTGTCCACCAAAGCCTTTGCACAATTGGCCGTAACCTGTCAAACACAAGAGCATGAAATGATACTGGACACTGCAGAATGGTTAGATCAAGTTAGGTATTTATTTATTGATTATTTTGCAGAGTCTCTGGGATGATCTGTAATCAAATATTTTAGGAGGATGCGGCTATTGATGCTGAGCAAGAATATATCTACTCTCTGCGATCGGACAAAACTATTATACCCCACTTTCAATGGGTTTGGGGCATACAAAACTATAATTATAACAATAATAATAGAAATAATATTAATATTACAATAATAATAAAATATTTGATTATTTTTTTAATATTTGTTTCTAATCGTCTTTTAACTACTCTATAATATATAAGTTTTTATTAAATTTGTGTCTTACGATTTTTATTTGGTTAGGATTTTAAATACATTGAGGAACACTGCATTAAGTTCACACGGTATTATGCCAAACTATCTTATGACTTCCATTGTAGCACATATAGATCCTTTTAAAGCATTGTTACTCACTGTGACGGAGGTGCCCAGTTCAAAGATAAGCCAACGCTTTTGCCGCTGCAGCAAGTGCGGCAGATGCAGTGGTTTCTCACGGAGATAACTGACAGCACGGCTGGAGCTGTTGGAGCTGTTGGATATGTTGGAGCTGAAGCCAAAGCTGCTGTTATTGCCAGCCCTGACCAAAGACAACGAGAGGCTAAACAGCAACGCCAGGAGCAAACGGAAAATGCGACTTCCCATAACGGCCATTGCAAGCGCACAGCTAAAGACTAAAGTACGGAACCAGGTGCTTGCCGAACTGAAGAGCAAAGTTGGCCCAAGAATTTAAGGCACTGCGTGGCTAGTCAATTTGGGTCTGGAGTACGGCCCATGATTGACCGCAATGCAAGTTTGTTTGGCCAAGCAATTAGTTCGATTTGACTGCGCTGGCTAGGCCAACGAGAATCGGGTCATGCTCTGAACCAGTTTTGCAATCCAATTTAATTAACAGCTTGGCATCGGCCACAAATCAATGGGAATGGCAAATCTAAAGCCGCCTCTCAAATTCAAAATCAAAGGCCCAATCTTCGAATCAGTTGTAAAAAAATACGCAGCCAGAATATGTCAAACACTTGGCTGGTGTCTCTGCTGGAGCTGCTGTTGCTGTCGTTGTTGGGCCAGTGCCAGCACAAGCTATCATTGAATGCATGGGCCAAGAGCGATGCCCTGGATGTGTTTGCCACATCGCCGCATCTGGCAACGTCCATTGATGCGCATACGAATCACGAAAACCATGTCAACAATAGCACGCTGGCAGCCGCTGAGGAACTGGACCCATTGGCACCGCCGGCTGCTTCATTGAGGCCATTGTCGCAGCGTAAACTCTCGAGGGGGAAACGTTTTGTGGCATTTCCGTTGGGTTCATCGGCATCTGTAAGTGAACACACAAAACACACACAACAGACAATACACACGCACTACAGCATCAAAGTTTCTGCATAGTTTAAGCCAAATTCTTTACCAACTTAGGCCGCAGTCTGCCTGACCACAGGCGTCCTCGGTAATCCAAACTTGTTGTATCTTAGCATGGGTCTGAATTGGGGTGTTGCCTACGATTTGCCCAACATCACATGGGTGCTACAGAATGCTCATGGCTGGAACACAAGGAAGCCAAGCACAGCACTCGCCAAAATCAAACGCAGACATCGACGTGATCTCTATGGAAACTTGGAGACGATGATAGACAGGTGAGCCATGTGAATGTTAGTCTGTTATATGGTGTATTTAAAGGTCATATGGTCGGTAACCTATTTCTACCAATTTAACTTCCCTGTAGCTAAAAATAAAATACATATTTATTTCTTATATATTGAGCTAAATATTTTACTATAAATTGAACGTACGAGTAGATGTTGTTAGTGTGTTGTTCTTAGAGCATCAGAAACTCTTAAAGGTGACACTCGTACCTAAAATTTGCATTTGGTATATATTGGGCATTCCATAAATATAAAAAAATAAAAATCGTACGTAGCTACTCTAAATATCAAAATTATCTGTTCGTTTGCCCACCGAACTGTGTGCGTATACGAATTGATTCTCTGTTTTTGTCTGCACTCATAGCGTGAGAGTATATAGATTTATGCCCACTTAAATATATAAACGTACATATTAACATGAGTGTGTGTGTGTGTGTGTGTGTGTGTGTGTGTGTGTGTGTGTGTGTGTGTGTGAGTGTCTGTGTTTGCTAGTGCCAAAATCAGCCCAAGCACTTGGCTTATCACGCACAGTGCGGGAAAACCCAAGGCAACTTTCGCAGCCCAAGTGGTCGCTCCTCTTACAGTCTCCACCTGCCCCTGGCCAAGGTCCCTTGCTGCTCCACGCATTTCAACATTCTATGTGGGTGAGTGAGGCTGTATGTGTGCTTGTATGCGTGTGCCTTAGTGTGAATGCGTGTGGCTGGCATAATAATAAAATGTTGGTGTTTTATATTAGCATTTAAATTGGCTTTTTGTATGCTTCGGAAATAGTTTAATATCCGAAAAGTCTTTTAGCGCAACTTTAATATTGACCCAAGCAAAAATGCATAACAAAATGGAACATAATTGGGCAGAATTATGTGCATCGCCTTCGAAGGAGTGACGTCTACATACATACATATTTCAAATTTGTAGTACCTACTATATCTAGTATATTCAATCTGTAAAATGCCCTGACCTTATCAAAGTAAAACACACACACAGACATTGTCATGGTAATCAACAAGCTTTGGTCTATTTGAGCCTCATTTGCAGTGCCTGCCCAAGCTTCGAGTGGACAGAAGAAGTTTTTGGCCAGCCCATTTGCCTTTAACTTTGCCAACTATTGCGGGCTGTTTCGTTGACCTAAGCACGGCTTTTATACACGTGCTCATCTTGGGATTGGGATACGACTATTTTATGATTGTTTTCATTCGAATCGATTCGCTTCGAGTCGTTTCTTTCGATTGTCTGTTTTGCTTAGCGGCCACAATTGATGCCTGCCAATTTTGTCATTGACTTTGGCCTCTGCTTTACGGGTGCTATTGTTCTAAAAGGGCCCCCTAAAGACTCCCTGCCACACACTCGCACAGCCTTGTAATATGGTGTATATGTGTTGTACCAAGCAAAACAACAGTATGTATATGTATGTGCGTTGTATGCCATGTGGGGTTAATGAAGTTATTTGTTTGTTTGCTTGTTCCAATACTTCCAGCCATTGACATGACCAACACATAACGGAGCTTTGTTTGACATTTCTCGATTTGACATGCGAGCACGGGTAGTTTTATAAGTTTGCCAAAATACTTCGATTAAGTTTGTGTATGGTTCAAATGATGCTAAACTATATACTACTGTTGAATTATACAATTTCAAGAAATGCACATACACATTAACATGCATTTTTATACCCTGAACCCATTAAAAATGGGTATAAGGGTATATTGTATTTGTGCAAAATCCAAATGTATGTAACAGGCAGAAGGAAGCATCTCCGATATAAATAAACATAAAGTATATACATTCTTGATCAGCATCAATAGCCGAGTCGATCTAGCCATGTCCGTCTGTCTGTCCGTCCGTCCTCTTACTTGTTTTATCATCTCTTAGTAGAGGAAAGGCGAACCGTGAGCGGCAGCCGCTCCAAAGGAATGTCCGACTTTATAATATAGTTGCACCTTGTTGTTTATAGTACACAATATATTTCAATCTTCATGCCTGGATAACACATTTCGAGGCACATTATAAAACTCTCAATATACCTAATATTAGCGCGTATTGCCCGGCTGATTTGATTTTGATTTTTCATACAAGTTTTCTAAAACGAATATGAGCGCGAAAGGTCACCCACGAAACCTTTGAACTACATTGCCTCCAAGGAGTAAAACATTTTTAGAAAAGTGTGAAACACCCATCGAATGAATTTGAACAAAGATCTTTGAAAAAGAGTTTAAATCCGATTGGATGATAAACAAAACAGTTTCATAGAAGTTTTTCACGATTTTTTCACACTTGATTACATTTTGAAACATTAAACCTCGTTAATTAAGTATGCTCACATCGTCTAGTGTTTCAGCTATAGAAAGTTCTTTACATGCTCGGCTGTTCTTTAAAAGCCCGGTCGCAATATACTTACTATTTATACATACTATATACTATATACATTTATAAGCTAATAACGCATAAAATTCTTTAGGTTTATCCAACTTAGGGCAGCTGCTGTTCCACTCCATCAATTGAATGGCAATCAAACCATCGATCTTCATCGTCGCTGTCGGCGGCGGCATCTTTGACTTTGCCACAGGCGTTAACTATTTTTGCACAAGGCACATGCCACGACGGCCAGCAGGTGGATGCCCCATCCCAGAGACCGTTGCAGGCAATTCAATTAAAGTGCAGCAACTGTCTAGGCATGCCACAGCTTCTAAATGAATGTGTGGGTATGTGTGCATGTGAGTGCCTGGCTGTGTGGTCTGTCTGCGCCATGTTTATTGTAAACGTGACTGTGACTGCCACTGAAAGTGGTTGCACTGCAACGAGCGTTGCAGGTTGGAATCCGACGCCAACTGTCGATTGGCACATTTGCACTTTGGCAATTTCTTTGGCAGCAATTCTTCACCCTTTGTCTGCGCCAGTTTGCAGTTGCAGTTGTCTGCTGGCAGTTGTAGTCAGAGTTTCGACTTGTGTTGCACGTACCTGGCCATGATTTACGCGCATCTCGTATTGTTTAATTATCGTTTAATTGTTGCAAAGTTTTTGATTTACGATTTAATTGCAACGACAAGTGCTGCAAATGCAGCCTCTTGGCTGCCAACTACTCTCGTGAGCCATGAAACCGACGCGCCACTTCCCAGTGCCAACGCTTTCAATGATTTATGGCCGACGCCAACATTGATGAATATGATGGAACGTGCAAAGACAACGTCTGCGTCATTTGCTCCGTCCGCCGTCTCGCTGGCGAAATCCGAGCGCGTACTGAGCCGGCCCAGACGCTATCTCAGCTTTCCCGAGGGCTCCTCGTTTACCGTATGTGTCACTGTCACTTTGGATATCACCCTCGACCCGGCGGAGCAAGTGGAATAATATCTCTGATTTTTTGCCATTTTCAATGTTCAGGTTTCTGTGTGCTTCACTGTGGGCATCATTGGCAATCCCTACTATGCCCACAATAGTTTCGGCCTCAATTGGGGCGTTGCCTATGATCTGCCCAACAATACGTGGATCCTAGAGAGCCTGCACGGCCTTTCGCGGCGTCCAACAACGGCAGCAGTTTTACGGCGCCGAGCCAGAAGTGCCATCTATCAGGATATTGAAGCTATTGTTGATAAGTAATGCAATATGTTGATCCTATAAACATGCTTTAGTATATGGCACCAAACGGTGAAGTTTTAATAAGCCCCCAAATTAAGTTCAAATCATTCCATCTGCACTTCGAATACATTTCTTTGATTTTTATACAATTTAATTCTAAAAAATGGACTTACAAATCCGATTATAAATCTTTAAGTAAACGATTTTATCAAAAATTTTCAGATGACATCGATACTTTATAAACATAAAATTTTTACAAACCCTTCTCGACTTTCAGCATGGGTTACAATGGGCGTGATTGCATTTTGCGTACTCTCTGCGAAAGTCGTCAGTATTTCCAGCGTACCAAGATGAACATGGTTGGTGAGATGTTGCGCACAATCTTCAGGTGGGTCAATTATTTATCAAATATTTATATGTGAATACAAATTAATAGAGTAACTGAATAATATATATATTTTTTATCTCTCTATCTCTATTTCTATCTCTATCACTATCTCTATCTCTATATCTCTTTCCCTCTCGTCCTCTCTCTCTCTCTCTCTCTCTCTCTCTCTCTCTCTCTCTCTCTCTTTTTTTCTCTCTCTCTCGTTCTCTCTCTCGTGCAGTCTGCCTAAGCAGCGCATTTTTTCGCGAGAGCTGCACGAAAATTTGGATATTGTGCACTACGATAATGCATATCGCCACGCCCATAGTGTTGACTGTGCCAATCAATATGACTGTCAGTTTTCGCTACTAGAGTTGGCTTTTGGAAAATACTCGACGCCGCCGAAAAATTATTATGCCCAATAAATTGCAATACTAAAAATTGTCTTATGAAATTGTTTTAATGGCCACTCACCTATCAGTACCCCTGGCATCCCGGTCACTTGTTGCCACCGGGATATAAATGGCAATTCATTTTTCTCAACAGCCTCCCTTCCCCCTCTTTCACAGCTGACGTGCACCTCATTTTGCCCAATCGGGGCCATGTCGAGCTGTATTGTCTAGCTCCGAGAGTGGAAAGGAGCCTCAACGAGGCGGGCTGTGGCTGACGGATGTGTGTCAGTGTCCGTTGCCGTTGCCGTCTGCAGCCTCGACCTGCACAAAAGCTCGAACATTATTTAATTGAAAAGAAACACAACAACAGCAACAATAACAAGAACGACAACAACAACAGCGTCGAAGCAACAACATATACATTTGGCAAACTTTTCGAAATTTAATTCAATCAACAAGCTCGGAAAATTGCTTGACATGACAGTTGAGTGAAAATTGAGTGGAGCATTTAAGCGCTGTGAAAATTCCAGTTGACATAGACAGCTGACAATATTTGTTAAGAACATACCAGGGATGGCCAAAAAAAATTGCTCTCAATATTTTACAAATATATTTCCCATTTTTGATTACGAGTAAAAATTAATAAAATTATATTTATAAAACTAAACTTAAGATAAGCGTATGTTGTTCATTTTTTTAAGCGGATATCATTTAATTGATGGATCCCTGGAATATACTATGAACTAAGATAAATCGTCTAATAAACTCAGCAGCTGAGTCATGACAATTTAATGATGTGTGGCTTTATGTAGCAATAATAAAAATGTATATTAAATCATTTACTTTTATGCGAGAATTCAAAATGACATAAATGTGCTTTGAAAGGGAACAAGTAGACGCCATAATCCCATCGACCACTAACTTATATGTATTTGGCCTGCTATCTTTAATGTGCTTTAGTCGGGAGTACCCTGAAGTTGAGAGTATATAGCTCACAACTCTCGTAACCAAAGCAGGGAATCTGTTTTTACTAAGTATATATCGAATATTTAACTGAACCAGTTACATTTTAAACAAGAAAGAGGTTCTAGTCGGGAGCTCCCGACTTATTCCCTAGTACCTGAAGCCTCTTATTCCAACACCAAATGCAGCTTGCGCTACATGCTCCTTTGAAGTAATGAAGATAAATTTAAAAAAAAAAACAGCCAAAAAATAATAAAAAAAACAACCCCGGTAAGGCTCGAACTGGCGACAGACTACAGCACTTGCTATGCTATCTTGTTGTACCATAGAATATTTGTGTATTTTCAATTGCATTACAATTGTGGTATAATTGAAGGGCAATATAAGTTGGGTTATTAACTTGATTTATACCTTTTTGATAGTATGGAGCGGGTCGCGATAGGTATCAAATGAAAGATACTTCATATCAATATAATATTCTAAAAGCAACATGTCAAGTTTGGTGACTCTAGCTCTTAATATTTACCCAATTTGCTTAAAAAACAGAATGTCGATATTGATTTTTAGCGATTAGTTAGAAAAGTTATCGAATATCGGAAACAAACTAGATCTGAGCGGGCATTAGGAGGACGTACTGCAATTTCAAGTCCGTAGCTCTTATAGGTCCAGATATCCTTCCCTTCTTAGATACGGACAGACGGACATATCTAGATCGACTCGACGGTTGCTGCTGATCAAGAATATATATACTTTATGGGTCGGAGATACTTCCTTCTGTCCGTTAATTGCGTTACCCATTTTTAATGGGTTCAGGGTATAAAATTCGGGAGATATCTAAAATACGCTAAACGACATCTGAAAGCTCATACAGACAGACTGAAATATTAAAATATTTGGATATTGTAACTTCATTATATTTGAAAATGTTTTACTAAGCATCGCCCTTCTATGCGATTTTCATGAATTCAAGTAAGACTTACTTGAATTTTCATGCTTTTATTATATATATTTTATTCACAAGTTGTGTTGGCAATATAAATAACTTTATCTCTTCCCATATTTCGGTTATTTTTTTCTGCCCATTCCCTTACCCTCTTTCTCAGTCTCTCTTTCTCTCTCTCTCTCTCCCTTTCTTTCTTTCCGCCTGCCTTAACTCTCACTAATTTCAATTATTAGTGAATTAAAAATATACTCAAGAGTTAGGTTAGGTTATGAATATATATAGAACATTGTACCTACCTTAAATATGAAAACAGAACATCTGGAAAATTATTCATGAAAGCAATTAGCAATTCGTTACTATTAAGTGCGAAGTTTGAACAGATCTAAGCTCGATTTAAATTTCACACCTATTTCATGACTGCGCCCATTACTCCCGCGTTAAATTCTTCATGTCAACACGAATCAGCATGAAGAGTTGTGCCAGATGCAGATAGAGAAAAAGTGTTAACAAGTCGATAGCATGTACGGCGCTCTTCTAAATACTAGCAGAAAATGACCAGTAAGGGAAAAAATAGAAGAAGTATACAAATATAGTAAAAATAGAAACAGAGACTAGCGATGTGACAACACCAACAACAGCACAAAGCGATAAATAAGTTAATAAGCAAACGCAACAATAATAACAACAACAAATAGAAGAGGGCAACGACTTCTCAGTTGGTCACTTTTGTTGTTTATTTATTTGTCTGTTTGCCTTGGCTGGGTTGATGCGGGGGCTGGGGCTGGTGCTGAGGTTTGTCTTTACCGGTATTTGTGTCAAACTGATACAATATACCAGACATATCAGTCATCAGGAAAAATTGGACCGAAGCGCGTCGCACGAGCGCAACTGCTAGCAGAACATCACGCAAGCCAAAGACGATGTAAACAAAAGTTTGTTGTAAAATTGAGGGAAATAAATTAACAGAAAAAGGGAACAAATTTTATCGTAATATGATGTCGTCGGCTGGAAGAGTATTAATTAGCGGCAAAATTGACAACCACAAGCGTCGAGCCAGCGATTCCTTGTTGTGCCTGTCAGCACGCCCATCAGCAGCAACCCGACTGCTGCTGCTGTTGATGCTGCTTCTGTTTGGAATGTGCCCAACCGTCGTTCAAAGTGCTGACAATTTCGATGCGGTTGGTGATGCAATGGCCGACCCCAGTCCCAGTCACAACCATAATAGCAATAGCAACAACTTTGACATGCATTATGACAACTTTAACCAGGTGACAGGTAGCAATGACACCAGGATACTGAGACGGGGCAAACGCTACTTGGAGTTTCCCAAGGGCTCGCGTATGTCGGTGGGTTATATACACAGGCACCCTTCACTCCCCTTTAACGCACACACTTCTTTGCTTTTCAGTGGCGTACTAATGCGAAAAACAACTTGCTCAAAATCAACACACTTATCGCCTATGGTTACGGATTTCGTGCCAATTATCCATTTCCCGAGCCCAAGGATCAGCGAAAGGGAAACCGCATCTTTTTCAAACGCGATTTGTTTTCAAAACTGGAAAACGCCTTAGATGGGTAAGTCATTGCGTTTTCATGGAGTTGTTGCGTTTGTATCAATCAAGTTTCCTTCACTTAGCCATGGCTTTGATGGACGTGCCTGTTTATTGAAATCTTTCTGTACGGCAATTTTTGATGTGGATAAGCCCCAGCAGAAGAGCGGAATGTTGTTCAAGCTGCTCAAATTAATATTCAGGTGAGTTTGTATTTTTGAAAGAAAAGTTAAAAGAATATGAATATGCATATAACCAAAACCAAAGGGTTATGCTAATCTAGGTTTAAGTGGCGGCGAGAAGAGGATGTCACGGACATCTGGTGAAAATGACGCATCTGTAAAAACAGCTTGTGGGCTCCACGAAAAACCTGTTAGAGCCCGCAAGGACTAGCTTGTCTGGCTGGTCAGTTTTTTTCAAAAAAAAAAATATCTTAGAAAACAGTATAGTTTTTATACAGGGGTTGTTGGATATTTTCGGACAGAAATCAGGGTGGGAGAACCAACATTCTTGGAGTCATCCTGATGGCACACGGTTCAATTGTGACTCAGTCAATCTTATATTATTCTTTCAAGAAATCTTTGATTGGTTAGGGTGCGTATCGAGCTCCCTCCTACTACCTCTCTATTATCACTGTGGTTTTGGTTTAGATTGGCCTTAGATGAACATTTTTATTATATATCCGATTCCAAACAATCGTTAAAAATAGATAGCAACATCATGTTTTTTGAGCAAATTGGGTAAATAATAATAAAATGAAGCCACCACACTTGATATGCTACTTTTAGATTATATTTATATCAAGTATCTTTCATTTTGTACCTATCATTTTATACCTACCTATAAGTCAAGTTAATAACCCAACTTATATTGCCCGTCAATTATACCACAATCGTACATTTTATTAAGATCGGTTAAGAAAGGCCTGTATACATGTACACACACACATTGATGCGCGTCTGCTTCAAATTCTTTCAACAGCATTGTAATTACGATTAATTTTGGTGCTGCTATTTTAATTCGTTTCCTTTTCATTAACATACAAGTATTGGTGTGGCTGTTGAGTAGAGGCATAGAACCTCTTATTTGTTTTAAATTTAACTACTTAATTTTGTTTCACATTTCTTGAATGTTAGTAGCTATCCACAGATCAGTAGATTAACGCCTAAAGCCTTAATTTTTCTTCGTTTTTTTTCCTATGCGTCAACTAAAACTTGGAATTTGGTGAATTAGAGCAATTAGCAACAAAGTCACAATCAGTATTATAATCAAAACCAGTTTGGCTTCTCATAGAATCTTATGCACTTGACACATTTCTAACATGTCACTCGAGATTTAGTTAAACTCTTCGGCTGCAGCCACAAGAATGGGCGTTCTCCGAGTATCTTTGTTACTTACTGCTGTTCTGGCCACCCTGGCTGTAGCATTGGAGCAGAATGCAACATCGCCGCACAGTCGACCCAAACGCTTTCTGGACATTATAGAGACAACTCGTTTGTTTGTAGGTAACAGTTGAGCAGCAACAGCTCCACTTGCCATTGACCATAGCTAACTGATACGTTTTTCACTTGGAAAGTTCCGCGTAAACGTAAAAAACAATGTGATACCAAAGCCGACAGTTTGGGCACATGGTTATGGGTTTCGTGCCAACACCCCAGTCCTAGTGAAACGTGAAAATCGCCCCTTCAGAAGGGATACGTACGAGCTGGTCCATGAGCTTATGGACCGTAGTGGCTTCGATGGTCAGGCCTGTGTCCTGAAGGCATATTGCACTGCAATATCTGGGGATCATAGTCAGGGTTTCTTGCATAAACTATTTAAGTATATGTTTACGTAAGTTGTGCCCAAATTGGCATTCCAACTGTAAATTAAACAATTTGGCTTGTTTCGTTTTTTCCTTTTAAATAGCCTGGATGAACACGAGAAGCATCACATGCCCTACCTGCGCGAAGAGAACTGCCAGCAGATTTTGCACAGCCATTGCCCGCTTAGCTTTGACAGCATTTCGCCATATACAGATGATGTCTAACAATAAATATGTGATTTAATCTTGTGTGAATAATTTACTAAAACTAATCGTATTGACTTAGCTATAATCATTAATTAAAACAAGAATTCAATGAGCACAGCATTTTAATAAATGAAACCAATTAGTTATTTACCATGTCTCTAAATTCATTTACACCTATATTTGTGGTTTCAAGACATTTTATTGATTTTATGTGGGGCCTAAGGCCAAAAAAAGTTCAATACTGTTCCTGACAAGAGAACGCGACCACATGATACTCATTCCCCATACAAAAAATATAAATCAATTTAGTTTTGGCTGAAACTACATTTAAGAATTTTGTTTATTATCTGTTTACTCAAGAACACTTTATACCGAGTCTCACTTAGACCTTCGGTAAAAACCCATTTTGTATATATTATGTTAGAATAAAAAGTAGCAATGATGAGGAAAAGGCCCTTATTAAACACAATATTTTATGACTGATGCTGCCAATAATGCATTGACAGCATACCTAAAATCAGACACTCTGTTAGTATATAAGACCTAGGATTCTTAAAATTAAAAACAGTATCTTACAAGTACTCAAACGGAACTGTATATTTTACATTCGATCGATCTCAAACTCATTTTCAAAGATCTTTGTTCATTTCACCTGTTTTTCACACTTTTACAACAATGTATTCCTCCTTGGGCGTCAAAGATTTGGATCTACTTATATGAAAAATCATTTATAGTTTTATGTTTTCTCCGATTTGCTTCAAACTTATTTTCGGAGCTCTACATAAGAACTTAATAAATACGTGTTTCAGCGATTTAGGAAATGGCACCCACAACAGTGGGTAAAATAAATAAATGTTGGTTAAAAGAAAAACCTGATCTTATCAAGAAACAATGTACTTAAAAATCAATCAGTCAAGCCTCTCTGTAAATCAGTCAGTCAATCCGTTCAAGAAATTTCGTTTGGTTAGCGAGAAGTTCCATTTTGCTTAGCCAATACCAATCAAGCCGGAATAAGGAATAAAAATTGTTTTTTTTTTTTTTTCAATATCGTAGCCATTTTATTAAATCTTAGTTAACTATTGATCGCATTTTATCTGTTGTTTTCACAACAGTTAATGTCTGTTGTTTTTTATTTATAATTAAATTGTGCCATTTCCAAGTGACCCCTTTTATTACCAGCAGCAGCATGTATGTAATTGGCATTTTTATGAAACAGTCGAGCAGAGCAGAAAACCAAGTACAAAAAAAAAACAGCATACTTTTTGCGGACGCTCATTGTTGACCTCATTGCATGACAAAAGTTGCAGTTGCTGCTTCTGATGCTGTTTAATGTCACCAGCATGAAATGCCAAGTGTTGTTAAAATGTTTGCGAGCGCCTTTAAGCGCCTTTGGCGCGCCCACGCCAGCGGTCCTGTCGTCCACGCCCAGCATTAAAAATTAACTTTAATTAAGTTGAAAACATAAATTACACGCACGCATACTTTGGCGTTAAAATGCATACTCACGCACACACACACACACACACACAGACGAACATGCATGCGTGCACATGCAGGCATTTTGTTGTATGTGCACAATTGCCTTTGCTGTTGTTGTAGTTGTTGCATGCGCTCTTCAAGTTTGTTGCTCATACAAAGAGTTTCCGCTTTTGGCAGAGGGACGACCACAATTAAAAAAAATAACTGAAAGTGATCTATTTGGAAGCGCCCGATTGGAAAATACCCTGTACTCAGCATCGGGTTGCCCTAGCAATCATCCTTCTATACACAACAACGCACACATACATCTGTATATTATACAGGCTAGTATTTCTTCTTACTGCTCCCTATAGAAAATGCATTTTTGAATAAATTCGGGTTTTGTGGCTTGTAGATAGTAGCTTGATTAAATAACTTCTTTAAGGAGAGTAGTTGTATTTTCTTGAATACTGGATAATGCTTTTTCCATTTATTTAATAATATTTAATGTTAATTCGCCAAGCGCAAGCCTCTAGAATCGCTTAATATCATATACCCTTTTTTAAACATTTTCAATGGTACAAAGTATACAAAGTTGAAGCGCTTGTTGTGTTTCTCTCAGGCACTTTGGTTCATACATGCACACACACACAGTGACACATACACACTTCGGCAACCTCAATAAAGTAATAATTATGCTTGCTGTGTGAGAAATTGCTCTGGGAAATTGCAGCAGCCGCAGTCGGCCAAACAAATCCACATACAACTCCCAGTTGCATTCCAAATTCACCTTTCACCTACTTACCTAACCAAATTTGTCTTTTATATTTTCTTTTTATAGTATTTGTTTTCTGTTTGGATACAGTTAAATTTGTATACTTAGTTTAGTATGACGGAATTGTCAATCTTTAGTACTGGGTCGAATAGGTATAAAAAATAATCTGATCCATTTAGATTCCCATATACCAAACGATTGAAGTGGTGAAGCTTACTCCCATCCCATCAAAATTATTCATTTTATTCACTTTATTCTTTTAATTTCATGCTAATTAAAGCAATTAATATTAATTTAAAAATCACATAAAATGCTTATAGTTGGCATAGTCAACTACACATTTTGTAGTACCTAAAAAAATGTATATTCGATAGTATCGGAGGTCCAGGCCTTGAATCGCACTTATTTATTTGATTTGTTTTCATGTTCAAGCAATTAAAATTAATTCTAAACCACTTTAAATGCTGAAAATTTCCATTGTCAAGTGTCAATTTTTGGCCATGAGCTGTTAACAAATATACCATACATTTGAGAGTGGCAAACAACAATATCCCCGCTAATGCAGAAATTATGTTTTTAATTATATTAACAGGATTGCATAAAAAGTGTCAGAATTATTAAGGTCATTTAGTATAAATTGTAAAGTTCCATTTAATAAAATAAATACTGAAAATACATTTTTGGGGCTTGTATCTTGCTCTTCTCGAACTATAGGCGCGGGCTAATCACTTAAATGCTTCGGAGTATTTTAGTTGCCTCCAAACAATATGTGAGCTTAACACGCCCTACTGCACACCTGGTTTAATTTATTGGCATTCAAAGGCCCAACAATGTTTAATGGAGAGCCACAAGCGCCAGCTCCAACTCATTATGCTTGCCAAAAGGCAGGGCAAGTGGCAAACAGGCGTCGAACCGGTTGCATTCATACATTAATCGCCGTCTTTGATGCAAATTGATTTGATACGTTGTCAATTAAAATGTGCAATTAATTTAATTTGGGGTTTGTCTCGCATTATCGGGCAATTGGAGCTGGCAGACCAGAGCATTGATATGGCCTGCAAGCCATGTATGCGCCCACAGCCAACGAGGAGGCCAGCGGGACTGACGACCTGCTAATGAACTCAGTTGGCCAATTGTGTTGGCGAAAGTGTATATCTAAATTAAGCTGCCTATAATATCACACTGAGTGTACTCGCAATTAGTCAAATGCTCATTCCCGCTCACACAATGCTGGCCACTTCAATAGTGCTGGCCTCCCGAAATCAATAAAACAAGAAGTGGTGCTTTGGTGCTGTATTTATTCAATTTCAGTTCAGCTTAAATTATTTTAAATACTTGAACTCAACCTTATCACATTTCTTAGGCAACAACTGTTGAAAAAATGTTGAAACCAATTCAAAATATCTAAGAGTGTAATCTATAAATTCGAATTATCCTTCTCACTTGTCCTTGGACAATTTTGAAAGCAAATATAAGGTAGATTTAAATAATTCAATAAAATCAGTTTTTCTCTTATTCGAATTGTCGGCATTGCTAAGACTAAATGCTAAGCTGAGGAGCTGCAATGATTCGTTCTCTAAATTAGTTCAAGGATTAGAGAAATAAAACTAACGTGCTAAGGATTCGTACAGCTCTTTTGTTGACAGTGTGAGGGGTGGTCAGGGAACTGGTGGAGGTATGGGGCTCAAGGCATGTCGCAATTTCCCAATTAGCTACTCATTGAGATAAATTTCTTATGCAAATGATGACAAGGCCAAGCATCAGCAACAGCCTCCAAGGCGGGCGCTGAAGTGGCATCGACGTCTCTGTTGGTGTTGTTGTAGTTGTCACATCCCTAGCTGGGAGTTGGGGACTCTGGTAACCTTTAACAACGACAAAGACCATGCCCATGCAAAGTGACATTGAATGAGTCGCTCGACGCCGCTGGCTCACTCTCTCTAATTAGCTGCTGACATTTGCCTGCTGCCAACGGCACAAAAACAACAACACACAGAAAAGCATCACAAATTTGACATAATTAAAATACTGGCGACTGACATCAGCAGCAAAATGAAATGCGAAGCAAGTTTACAGTCCCAATCTCAATCCCAGTATCCGTCCCAGACGCAGTCTCAGTTGCTTTTACGCTCTATAATCATAATAATAATATAAAACACAAATATTTTGCTAATTTCTTCGGAGTGCTTTACCAAAGGCGCTAATCCGTTCCGTCAACTGTGCCATATTTATTTTTCGAAATGATGATGAAATACCGTTAGGATACTCTTAACAAGCTCAGTTCATTGAACCAGCTCTAGCTCACGCCTAGGTGCTAATTAGCAAGGCTTTCAAGTTTAACCTGGTTCATTGGACCTAAAAATTGAGCTGCTAACTGAGGGCACATGATTTTAAAGTTGTTCTCCAACATAAACAATTAGAAATGGACCAGGTTTGTTTGCTGATATATTTGTTAGCTTTATGGCTGTATTTTAGGTATGCTGTAGTAGTACTGGGCGTCAGCAATGTGTCTTACATATATATTAAAAAAATAAATAAATAAAATATAAAAAAAATATGTATATAATATAAAATGTATTATATTTAAAATAATTTTAACTTTTTAATTAAAAACAAATATATATATTGTATTTTCATAAAAGGATATTGAGTTGGTTGCATAAATATTTTTAGTTTGTGCAAATATTTAGCTCATGTTGAAACACATTTCTGAAAAGGATGAATCTATACGAAATAAAATCAGGTTAATTTCTATTTAGTATATATTATACGTTCTAACAGAATAAGAATTATATACTGAGGTGGCAGAAAAATTCATTCTAACCCAATTTCAACGAGGGTATTATAATTTTGTCTTGAAATGTGTAACGCATATAGTGTATACATATTCCTACAACAGCCCAGACGATAGAGCCATATGGGCATGAAACTTTGAGAAAGTCATATGACGGAACCGGCTGAATCGAAGCACTATATCATATAGCTGCCGTAGGAACGATCGGTCGAAAGTTAAGTTGTTATATGGAAAACCTTTTGTTGATATCCATATATCTTGAACATACTCGGCATTAACTATTTTCTCAGTTGTTCTTAGATGCGGCAAAGCAATATGAGTATTATGAAGAGGTTGGGTCTGCAAGGGTATTAAATCTTCGGTTGGTTGGTTTTATTGTATTCAGTTTTGTCAAGGATTTGTTCAAAAATATTTATAGTTGTAGCACTGAATAGGGTATTAGATCTTCGGGATGCCGAAGATAGGCATTCTTTCTTGTGTTTGTTGGTTTTACTGTCTTGAGTTTTGTCAAGAATTTGTTAAAAAATTTTTTTCAAAAATAAATAGATTTAAACCTAAACTAGTTTTCTGAGTATTATGCTTACTACATTTCACGGCTTACATATTAAATACGTTAGTTCCAAAAATTGTATTTTACAAATTTGTCATTTACTGTTGACAAGCAAAACTTTCGCAAAAACCATTCGACCATAAATATGCCACCTGGCTATTAATAATACACGTATTTTTCAGAAAACCTGTGTTTAATGATGAGCTGCAATTCAAATTGTTATGATGAAAATTCTGTTTTTGTTTAAATATAATATTCATCAACATGTTTCTAATTTCAGTAGCTATATCCAATTCCAATTTTAATCTCTTTAATGATTTTTAATGAAATTTTAATGAAAATGTTGGTAGCCAAATTATAAGGGTAATATTGAATAAGCTAGCTCTGTATATATAATTTGATTTTCATGAAAAATATAAAGCATTTATATTTTTATTTTAGGAATGCATTAAATTGAGTAGGTACTACGTAGGCTGGCAATTTACTTAATCACAACTCAGACAATTAATTTACTAAAGCATTGAGTTTCTCTATGGTTTTGCCTAGGAACAAAGATTGCAGAGTTTTTTGCCAAAAATTCCAAATTCAAATTTTCTTATCTGGTTGAGGAATGCGCTTGAGAGAGCACAGAGAACTTTGTTTTACAACATAAACAAACACACACACATACACACTCTTAGACTGACACACAGGCCGAGTCACAGCTGACACTCCACATGTAAATTGCTCATACGCAATGTGGGCAGCACCCGCTTCAACAAGCAGCAGCATCAGCAACAACAATAACAACAATAGAAATGGCGCTTATTAAAGTTTGACTTGTTCTTTGGGGCGGGTGTCGAGCTTTAGGTGTGGCAAGCGGCATGTGGCACACAAAATTTGCTGCAACAAAAACATTTAACATTGCTTTTGTGTATTCCGTATGCGATAATTGGGAACAATAGAAGAAATAAGTTGAAAATTGGGAATGGTTGGGGCAATCTGAACAGAATGGGCCCTGTTAGTGCCTCCGCATTTGGCTGCAACATTGCGCCAGTACCAGCAGCAGTAGGTATTTGTAATAGTGTGTACGTTTAAAAGTACATAGCGCCCCTCAACATTTTACTGCCAGCCCTGCTAAAGGCCCACCGACCCTCTTCTACACGTGTAGACGATTGTTTGCCGGCGACATTCACGTCTCGCTGCGCTGCCTGCGGGCATTAAGTGTGATTTTATGCGATTTGTACCGCGGAAAGCCTCTGTCCCCCTCCCCCCCCCCCCCCCCCCCCCCCCCACCCTTGCTAAGAGCAAGAACCGCAGCAGCAGCACCCGCTCTCTCTTTAAACAGCCACTCCCTTGCCTAGAACCAAGCCCATTGCTAATTTACATTTGACAAATGTTTTGCATGCTACGAAAATTTTTGCGACTGCTGCAACGA